GGTCACCCCTTGGGAGCATCCCTCATCCCTCTCCCGCCAAAATCTGTGTGATACTCATTTTTAGATGATTCCTTAGGAATTTTCTTTTTTTGCTTTTTGGGTCACACCCGGCGATGCTCAGGGGTCACTCCTGGCTCATGCACTCATGAATCACTCCTGATGGTGCTCGGGGGACCATATGGGATGCCGGGAATCGAACCTGTATCGGCCATGTTGGCTGCGTGCAAGGCAAACGCCCTACCCACTGTGCTATCGCTCCAGTCCAGGAATTTTCTTAAACCTCAAAATCAGATAATCACTTTTGGTTTGGGGACCACACTCAGCAGTTCTCAGGTTTTACTCCTGGCTCTGTGTTCAGGATCATTCTTGGTGGGGTTTGGGGGATCAATCCCTGTCAGTCGCATGCAAGGAAGTGCCTGTCCCTCCTGCCCAAACTATCACTTTACTTCTATAGTTTGTTCTGGTCTTAATATTTCAGAAATGAGAAGAAATACTGTCTACTCAGTTCTCTTGTAGTGCGAATGAAACAATGTGACTCCTTGGGGCGGGATGTGGTAGGGCACTTCAGAGCACTTGGCGTGCATGTGTGAGGCCCTGGGTTTGGTCCCTGACACTCTGTCCCTCTTTCTCCCTCTCCCTCTCTTTCTCCATCTTTCACCCTCCTCTGTCTCCTTCCCTTCCTCTCTTCCTTTCTTCCACCTTATCCCCCTCTCCCCTCCCCCTATTTGAATTAGTCACTGAAGGGGTGGGTGGAGACAGCTAAATGAAATTGGACTTAGAAAAGGGGGCTATCTTTAAGTGGTGGTCAGGAATGTGGTTGGTCGTTTTTTTTCCTTTTTGGGTCACACCCGGCAATGCTCAGGGGTTACTCCTGGCGGTGCTTGGGGGACCATATGATTTGCCGAGGATTGAACCCAGGTCGGCCATGTGCAAGGCAAATGCCCTACCCGTTGTACTATCTCTGTGGCCCCAAGAATGTGTTTTTATGTTACACATTCCGACCTTTCATTTTTGGGGTTTCTGGGCCACATCTGGTGGTGCTTGGAGCCTACGGCTGGCTCTCTGCTCAGGGATCACTCCTATTATTAGTGCTTAGAGGATCATATGGGATGTTGGGAATTGAGCCGGTGTTGACCCATGTGAATGGCAAACACCTTGACCTTTGTACTATCCCTTGACCCTACACATTTTGAGCTTTGAAAAAAAAAATCGGGACCAGAGCAATAGTACAGCGGGTAGGGCATCTGCCTTGCACGCAGCCGACCCAAGTTCAATCCCAAACATCCCATATGGTCCCCCAAGCACCACCAGGAGTAATTCCTGAGTGCAGAGACAGGAGTTAACTCCTGAGCATCGCTGGGTGTGACCCAAAAAAAAGCAAAAAAAAAAAAAAAATCAACAATGTGTTCTATTTTATCACTTTTTTTGGTTTTTGGGCCACACTTGGCTGTTTCTGATCAGGAGTGACCTAGGATAGTAATCAGAAAACCTTCTGCAGTGCCAGGGATTGATCCCAGGGCTGACCAGAAGCAGCCACTTGCAAGGCTGCTTAGTATTCTTAATTCTTAATTCTTAGTATTCTGTTTCTCTGGCCCCCAAAATATATTTTAGTGGTTGCTATATACAGTATGATTTTTTTTGGCCACACCCAGTGCCTCTCAGGAGACCAGGAGTTTCTGGGTGTTGAACTTGGGCCTCCAAGATCAACACACTATAGTATGTGCTGTAGCCTGTTGAGCTGTCTGTCTAGCCGTGGTGTGTGTGTTTGTGTGTGTGTGTGTGTGTGTGTGTGTGTGTTTAATCTTACTTTCTTAGGTAACATTTTCCAATGTCACGGTCTTGATGTTTTGTTGTTATTGCAACGTGCAAGGTCAGAGATGTGGTGCAGCAATGGTTTTATTGTCGGTACTGTAAAAATATAAATAAAATAAGTAAAAAGTCTTAAGTCTGGAGAAAGAGTACAATGGGTAGGTCGCTTGCCTTGTATGTGGCTGACCTGGATGTGATCAAGATACGGTCTTCATCCATGCCAAGATTGGTTCCTGACTGCAGAGCCGGAGTAAGCCCTGAGCACCACTGGGGTCATGTGCCCAGAAAGAAAGAAAGAAAACTAAGGCCAAACACCTGTCATTTCAGTTCTTCCATTAGTAAGCATTTCTAAAAATGTGGCCATTTTCTTGTATAATCACAAAACTATCATGAATGAGTCTGACAAAGCTTACAGTAATTCCTTGGTATTATCTCATGGAGGAAGTCATTTGCCAGTTTCATTTCAGGCTGAGCTTGTCAGTTTTGGTGAACTGATGGTGTTTGTTGCTTCGATCCCAGTAATCATTACTGTGGATAATTCTGCATGATAGGCTTTTTCTGGATACATTGTCTAACGAAAGACTCTGATTATGTCCAGAAATTGATTCTGAACTCTCAGACAGTTATTTACTGACCCCAATTTACCACTTTTTATAAAGATGTTGGAAAACATGAGTTTGAATTGTATCTAAAATATAGTCAGAATGACTGTCTCGATGACACATTGTATGATAGCACGTTGGACTTCTAGCCCACCATGGCGTATGCGTTCTGAAAAACATGGTCAGAGGGTGTGAAGGCACGTGTTTTTTTTCAAGGCACAAATCAGATGAAATAAACAGTTGATTTCTTAAGTTATTGCCATGATGTTGGGCTTGTACTTTTCTTATTCTTACTCTTTACAGCTATTTAAATATTGAAATAGAATTAATTTACATGCTAAAACTACCACTTCTCCCTCTAGTATGTTTATAGATATTGATGTGTATTTCAAAATATTTTGGCAATTAGAAGGAAAAAGGTGGGCATACATGAGCAATGTGAATGCTTGCTTCTTCCTTCCTTCCTTCCTTCCTTTCTTTCTTTCTTTCTTTCTTTCACTTTCTGGTATTTTGGGTACCGTTTCTTACTCATCTGATCCCATGAATTTGTAATGTGATTTTAATATTACACTCATTTTAGCAATATATTATTTAATTATTTTTTATTTTTAGTGGTGGCCCAGGGCATACTCCTGGCTCTGCTAAGGAATCACTCCCAGCCGGGCAGTGCTTGGAGGACCATATAAGAGGTGGGGGATTAAACTCTGGTCATCCAGCATCCTATATGCTCCTTCAAGGCAAATGCCCTGTGGCCAGAGAGATAGCACAGCGGGTAGGGTGTTTGCCTTGCATGCAGCCGACCCAGGTTTGATCCCTGGCATCCCATGGTTCCCAGATCACCGTCAGGAGTAGTTCCTGAGTGCAGAGTCAGGAATAGCCCCTGAACATCACTGGGTGTGACCCAAATGCCAAAAAAAAAAAAAAAAAAGATGACTTATCAAGGCAAGTGTCCTGCCCTTAGTAAGGGCTCTGACCCTGTACTCTTACTTTTTTTTTTTTTTTTATTTTGGGTCACCCCTAGCAATGCACAGGGGTTACTCCTGGTTCTTCACTCAGGAGTCACTCCTGGCGGTGCTCAGGGGACCATGTGGGATGCTGGGAATCGAACCTGGGTCGGCCGCGTGCAAGGCAAATGCCCTACCTGCTGTGCTATCTCTCCAGCCTCTGTACTCTTACTTTTATCAAAAGGGTTTGTTTTGGGAGACCCTTAGAAAAAGACACTTCATATCGGACACCCAACAATGTCCTTGCCCTACCCCCCTTTTTTGTCTTTGGATATGTGTATAGTGTTTTGTTTTTTTTAAGTCATCTAAAATAATTTGATGCTTAAAAAAGATAGGAATTATTTCTCAGTCAGACTTAAGTCAAGAATATACATCTATTTTGATCCTGGGTTAGTGAGGAAGAGGCAGCCCGGAGCTTGGGAAATGTGCCGGCCAGCTCAGAGCAAGGCCCTTAGGCTGGGGCAAAATACTTTGACTGAAATAAGTGTTCACTGACCAAAATAAACTTCATTATCACGTCATGTCTTTCTGTATGTTTCTCCTGCTTCTCTGTTTCTTCTTGGTTAGTGGATCATTTCTCTCCCATGCAAGAAATTCAAGACTTTTTCTCTTGACGCCATCTACAATTTCGACATCATTACAATTGCTCTGTGCCTCTCTTTCGAAATTTTGAGTTGTATTTCCAGAACTTCCCTGCACATCTGGATGATTGTCATTGCTTTCACGCTGCCTCAGTCTTTGTTGCTTGCTTTCGCTGCCAGTCCATCGGCCTCTTATCTAACGTAGAAAACTCAGGTTGCCACTGCTCCGTGGCATCAGGTCTGTGGGTCTCAGCCACTAGGCACGCGCTCTGCTCCCCACACCTGTGCTGGGCTTTCTTCTTCTTCATCCTGCACGTATTGTTTGTTTTCTGGAGTGGTGATGAATGATAGGAGGGATATCCAGTCCATATGCTTTCATCTGTCATGCTAAATACATAGTGCGTGGACTAGGTTTCCAGTTTTATTAGATCAACAAGCAACCGTAGCTCTAAAATGCTATTTGATTCAGTTTCTAAATTCAGCCCTCCAGTATTTAGAGTTGTATTTTTTGATGGTGATACTGATCACAGGTTTCCCTGCCCTTCCCCCCCATAGACACACACACACACACACACACACACACACACACACACACACACACTCCATGTCTTAACTTCTGCCTTTACCTTTCTTGTTTATTAGTCTTTGCTTGCGGTAGGGAGGAAGAGGAAGATGTGAAAATAAAGGAAGTAGGTTTCAGTCAGACAGACAGGAGAGAAACATCCTGATATAAGAGGGTATCATACACCAACTGGTTTGTGGTTTCTTAAGGAGGAAATACAGCCAAAGAAGAAAGAAGAGAGAAAACTTCTGTTTCAAAATAAGACTCTTTGTTGCATTAACATCTGTACAGTCTTTCTCAAAATGCAGAACCAACTATGGGTGGGAATCATTTCACCTGCTTTAGTAACTTAGCTTATTATCTCTTTAGATTTTTAAGACGTACCTGTTTTTATCATTTAAACCATTTTAAAACGTTACTTCAAATCTTTATTTTTTCTTAGACAAAAGAAGTTAGAAAAAGTGATGGAAGAAGAAGGCCTTAAAGATGAAGAGGTAATTATTATTGGAAATTTCCTCCTGAAACTAGCATGGCAGGGCTTTTCCTGTCCAGATGGTTGTTAGTCTTGGTGAATGGAGGGAAGGATTTTAGCTTAGTAATAGGAGATTGGGTTTTTTTTTTTTTTTTTTGCTTTTTGGGTCACACCTGGCGATACACAGGGGTTACTCCTGGCTCTGCACTCAGGAATTACTCCTGGCAGTGCTCTGGGCACCATATGGGATGCTGGGGATTAAACCCAGGTTGGCCGCGTGCAAGGCAAACACCCTACCCGCTGTGCTATCGCTCCAGCCCCACTCCCTTGTACATTTTTAACAAATTAATTAGATCTAGGATTCCAAGAGTAAGATGAGATAAAATCAAAAGTAAATGCAAATTGTTGCATATTTACAGAAGTCACTGAAAAGGTCCTATCAAGGAAAACTATTTCTCAAAATCATCTTCCCTCCCCCAGCCCACAGATGTGGTAGGAGGATGATGTAATTTTATGGAAAACAGTATAAAGAACTAAATGGCAGAGGGAATGCCTCTAAAATTAGGAGGGGCTAGAGTAGTCCTGCAGGAAAGGGGCTTGCCTTGCACTTACCTGATCTGGGTTCGATCCCTGGCTCCACATATGGTCCCCTGAGCCCTGCCAGAATTGACACTGAGCATCGAATGACGAGTAAGTACTGAGCACCTCAGGTATGGTCCTCCCCACAAATAAATGAAAATATGAATTGGTGCTTGGGAGTTAGTACAAGGGTTAAAGTGCTTGCCTTACATGCAGCTGACCTGGTTTATTCCCTGGCACCACATATGGTCCCAGGAGCCCCAACAGGGGTGATTTCTGAGCCCAGAGCCAGAAGTTAGCCCTGAATACCACTGAGTATGGCCCAGACTGCTCCCCCTCCAGAAACAACAACAGAAAAACCAAAAAAAGCAAAACAAGAGAAAAAAAATAGGAATGAATCACAGGAAAATGGTTAAAAAAAAATCCAAGAACCTGAGACTTGAAAAGAGCATAAAATGAACTGCATTTAAAAAAAAAAAAAAACGAGAAACAGTGTAGTTAGCACTGCACTGTAGTACTGTCCTCCTGTTATTCATTGATTTGCTCCAGAAACATTGTGAGACTTGCTGTTACTGTGTGGCATATCGAATATGTCACGGGGAGCTTGCCAGGCTTTGCCATGCGGGTGAGATACTCTCGGTAACTTGCCAGGATCTCCAAGAGGGAGAGAGAAGTTAAACTAAAAAAATTTTAACAGGAAACAGGTTAAAGAAGAATGTTGATTGTTTATCCTTCCTTCATAAGTTTACATAGTAGATTGTAGACTTAATTAATCTAAGTTCTAAAGGAGGCATCTTTTTCTTCAGGCTGGGTTGGTTATTGTATCTGAAGGTGGGACAAGGGAAAAATGACTTTCTCTGGGTCCTTATATAGTGGTTTCACCCTTGAAAAGAAAATGTTTAGGCAGATGCAGCTTTGCTTTTCAGATGCGTCGAAGTCACAAATACAGGTTTGTTATGAAGTTTCTTCTCTTTCCTATTCTTTCCTCTATTTTTTTAATTTTTCAATTTCATTTTCTTAAAGCATGGTTGTGGCTGGTTCTGGAGGTCTTCGGCTGCCAGGGTTCTGCTCGGATCAAGGCTGGGCATCCTCCACCCAGATCCTCCATCTTCCAGTAGGCGGGGGTCACACCTACCAACTGCGCCCCCCCCCCCCCCCCATGTAATTCCATCATCAGCCAAGACCCAGAGACTATAAAACCCAGCTCCCGGAAGTGCGCGGCTGCATTTGCGGCCACATGACATCTTATTATCTCATTCTTGCTTTGGACAACTTGTCAGGCTACCGAATGTAACCTGCCCACACGGCAGAGTCTGGCAAACTCCCTGTGGCATACCCAATATGCCAGATACCAGTAACAATGTTAGGTCTCATTCTCCTAACCCTGAAAGATCCTTGAATGTGGCACTTTTTAGAATCTCAGGGCTAGGACGAAGGAGACGTTACTGGTGCCTGCTCGAGGCAATCAACAAACAACAGGATGCTCGTGATTGTGATTTTCTTAAAGTAACAGAGCGGGTAGGGCATTTGCCTTGTACACAGCCAACATGGCTGACCCGAGTTCGATTCCTCCGCCCCTCTCGAGAGCCCAGCAAGCTACCGAGAGTATCTCGCCCGCAGGGCAGAGCCTGGCAAGCTCCCCGTGATGTACTCGATATGCCAAACACAGTAACAAATCACACAATGTTATGGGGCCCACTCGAACAAATCGATGAACAATGGGAGGACAGTGACAGTGATTTTCTTAAAGTTGTTCATAATATTTGATTACATCCAGTATTTCAACACCAGTCCCACCACCATTATTTCCAGTTTTCCCACCACCACTCAAGCCTGCCCTATAGGCAGATGCTAAATAATTTATTTTGTATTGCTTGTTATGAATAGTATGAGATGTCATGTAGCCGCGAAAGTGGCCATGTGCCCCTGGAATTCTAAATTTTTGAATATTTGGGGTCGGGAGGCATCTCTGCGGTGGGCTGCTCTCTTCCGGGAGATTCACTGTGAGTCTCTGGATCATGGCCCTTAATACCCTTAAATGGCCCCCAGAGGCAGTTGTTGGGCGTGACAGCCAGGAAACTTGAAGGGCAGGGGAGGTAGGGGGAGGTCACCCATCTCTGACTCTGTGAAGCCTCAAGATTTCAGTCACTGGTCCCACCTACCTGGGTCTTTCAGCAGATTCATTGTCATGCATGAGGGGCTCCATAGCAGCCTTGAAGATTGGCCATGAGCATGGTGGTGATTGGGTTCTGGAGTGCCCCACTCTGAGGCGCCCTGGCGAAATCAGCCTCGTGAGAGGTCCAGAGACATCTCTGCAGCTTGCCGCTCTCCCGAGATTCATTTGTGACTCTTCCTCTGTATTCAAACTCTAGAAACGACTAAGAAGATCAGCACATGCTCGGAAGGAAACAGAATTTCTCCGTTTGAAAAGAACAAGACTTGGATTGGAAGACTTTGAGTCTTTAAAAGTGATAGGCAGAGGAGCATTTGGTGAGGTAAAAAAGCATATTTACTTATCAAAAGCAAAAATACTAACGAACTTAGAGGCTTCTAATATTCTAATATTGTTGATGCAATTGAAATATGAGACAGGTAGGTCAAGCTTGTTAGCCTCACATTCTTTTTTGGGAAAACCGAAGTGGTGCTCAGAGGCGATTCCCTGAGAATGTGGTACTCAGCAGTTCTGGGATTGCCTGGACCACCCCCACAGTGCTCAGGGGTCTCCACAGATGCACACAACAACACTCAGGATACCATGTGGTGCTGGGGATCAGATCAGGGTTGGATGCATGCAAGGCATGCACCTTAATCCGTGCAGTATTGTGTGTGTGTGTGTGTGTGTGTGTGTGTGTGTGTGTGTGTGAAGCAAGATAGCCTTTATTGAAACTTTATAGTTTTTTATAGAAAGATAGGAGAAAGAGGGAGAAGTGTGTACTCAGGAGAGAACTCGGGCTTCTCCAAAGTCGAAGCAAGCAAAGAAAGAGACATGAAGTGAGACACAGTTCCAGGGACGAACACTTGTTGAAGAGCAAGCCCAGCACTGCAGCTTTTTTTATTTATTTTATTGCTTTGCTTTTTGGATCACGCCCAGTGATGTCCAGGGGCTCCTCCTGGCTCTGCACTCAGGAGTTACTCCTGGAGATGCTCGGGGGATCGTATGCGATATGCCCGGGCGTGGGTGTGGGTCGGTAGCGTGCCGGGCAGTGCCGTACCCGCCGAGCTGTCGCTCCAGCTCTGCATCTTCACTGCTCTGTCTTCCTAGTTCTGCAGTCCCAGATCTCTGCTCTCTGCTTTTCAGAGCCGATGTTAATGCTTCAAGTATTGACTGGAAGAAATACTGAAAAGGAGAAGGACGTCAGTACTTGTTCATGAGTGCTTCTCGCCTGTTATCATTACGAATCCATTTTTGCGTTTTGAAATTTTTATCTTTTTTTTTTCTGGTAGGAAATGTATTTTATTAGGTGTCATTAAAATTTTCCTGTCCGGGGGCTGGAGTGATAGCACAGCGGGTAGGGCGTTTGCCTTGCACGTGGCCAACCTGGGTTCGATTCCCAGCATCCCATACGGTCCCCCGAGCACCGCCAGGGGTAATTCCTGAGTGCAGAGCCAGGAGTAACCCCTGTGCAATGTCCGGGTGTGACCCCTCCCCCCAAAAAAGCAAAAAAATAAAACAAAATTTTCTGTCAAACCAGCTACAGATAAAACTCTTACATATGAGAACATTGATAAATTATTTGAGGTGGGGGCGGGGGACAAGGAGAGGATGACGTGAGGGAGACTGGGAACATTGGCGGTGAGAAATGGACACTGGTGGAGCAGCAGTGTGTATTGGAACGTTGTATGAAACCAAATCATGAACAGCTTTGTAATTGTGTATCTCATGGTGATTATATATATATATATATATATATATATAAAAATGAGAAACACCAAGATAAAAAAAATATATTCCCTTGAAGCCTATAGAGATAATACAAAGAGATCCTTGCATTGTATGCCACCAACCCTGGTTCAGTCCCTGGCACCACATGTGGTCCCTTGACCACTGCCAACGGTAATTTATGAGCATTAGGACCAGGACTAGCACTTCTGGATGTGGCCCTAAAACCTCAGAATTCCCCTTTCCTGCAAAAAAAAAAAAACTTCCTTGGAAGATGGAAAGCTGGTAAGCTGGTATTGGGGTCAAGGCACTTGTGCAAATCTGGAGTCTGATACCATGTCCCGCAACACAGCGTCATCCACACACTGCCAGAACGATCCCTGAGCACAGCCAGGGATGGAAGTCCAGAGCTGGAGAGGTAGGAACAACATGTAGGGCGCTTGTCTTGACTGATGTGAATTTGATTCCCAGCGTCCAAGCACAGCCAGGAGTAATTCCTGAAGTGCAGAGCCAGGAGCAAGCTCCCCGTGGCGTATTCAATATGCCAGATACAGTAACGACAGTAAATCTCATTCCCCTCACCTCAAAAGAGCCTCCACTCTTTGGGAAAAGACGAATAAGAAGAGGCTATTAAAATCTCAGGGCTGGGAGGAATAGAAATGTTACTGGTGCCTGCTTAAGTAAATCGAAGATCAACGGGATGACAGTGATACAGTGATTGCTGGGTGTGGCCCAACAACCCTCCCACCCATGACCCCTGCAGGAAAAAAAAATCCCCTGGGAAAACACCACAAATCAGCTCAAAAAATAGTATGTGCTGGAGTGATGGTACAGTAGGGAGGGCATTTGTCTTGCATGTAGCTGACCTGGAGTTGCTCCCTGACAGAATATATAGTCTCTTGAGCCCTGAAAATAAAACCCATAACAAAAGCACCTTCTGTTTCTCCTGGAAAAGAAAAACAAAAGAAAAAATTTCCAAATATGTTGTTTGAGTGCAGAGCTAGGAGTAAGCCCAGAACACTTCTAGATGTGGCCCAAAAACAAATGTCCAAAAGGCACAAACTGAAAACAATGAACAGTAGAAACTTTCATTTTCTATAATCCAAATAATATAGTACGTAATAGATTTCTGTTAAATTGACTCACGTGTATGAACATTTGTATAACAGGTTTTCTTGGGGAGGAGATAGAAAATGAGAACTTTACATATTGGTTGCGAAAGTGTAAACAAGACAGTAGCACTGCACTGTCCTGTGGCACTGTCGTCCCGTTGTGCATCAATTTGCTCGAGCGAGCTCCAGTAACGTTTTCCATTTAAGACTTGTTACTGTTCCTGGCATATCTAATATGCCACAGGAGGGGCTGGAGCAATAGCACAGCGGGTAGGGCGCTTGCCTTGCACGCGGCCGACCCGGGTTCGATTCCCAGCATCCCATATGGTCCCCTGAGCACTGCCAGGGGTAATTCCTGAGTGCAGAGCCAGGAGTAACCCCTGTGCATCGCCGGGTGTGACCCAAAAAGCAAATAATAATAATAATAATAATAATACGCCACAGGGGAGCTTGCCAGGCTCTGCCGTGCGGGTGGCATACTCTTGGTAGCTGGCCGGGCTCTCTGAAAGGGGCAGAGGAATCGAACCCGGGTCCGAAGCATGCAAGGCAAACACCCTACCCAGTGTGTTATCACTCCAGCCCAGACAATACAGTATCCATGGAAACTGATTAACTAATATCTTAGAAACGTTCATGACCTTTGTTCAGTATTTCTACTTCTAGAAATTAATTCTACAGAACTCTATTAGAAATGACATTGACTTACCGGTCTTCATTACACATTGTTTATGATAGCAAAAGATTGAAAACAGCCTAAATGTCTGTCAGTAGGAAGTGGGTTAAAAATTTTTCACATGTACACGATAAAAATAGTACGCATCTGTAAATACACTGAAAATTTCTTTATGTACTTTACCGAAACAAACAACCCCAAAAAATAAAACCCGTAACAAAACACCTTTTGTTTTTACTGGAAAAGAAAAAAGAAAAAATTTCCAAGTAATGTTGTTTGATGAAAAAAAAAACCACTCTATAATAATACTGTTTTGTTTTACTTATTTTTTTTTTTTTTTGCTTTCTGGGTCACACCTAGTGATGCTCCGGGGTTGCTCCTGGCTCTGCAGTCAGGAATTACTCCTGGCAGTGCTTTGGGAACCAAATGTGATGCTGGGGATTGAACCCGGGTCAGCTGCGTGCAGGGCGAACGCCCTACCTGCTGTGCTGTCACTCCGGCCCCACTATTTCATTTTAAAAGACAACTAGTAATAGTAAAGTATGTTTTGTTCCGAAAAATAAACCAGAAGTGGCATGAGAACTGAGTGGGTTTTACCATTGTATTTCTATTACATAATAACATATATAATGTGAGCTAATATATTGAACTGTGTAGATGCAGTAAATTTTTTTCCTTTTTGAGTCACACCCAGCAGTGCACAGAGGTTACTCCTGGCACTGCACTCAGGAATTATTCCTGGTGATGCTCGGGGGACCTTATGGGATGCTGGGAACCGAACCCGGGGTGCCCTTGCGTAAGGCAAATGCCCTACCTGCTGTGCTATTGCTCCAGCCCCAGTACTTTTTTACAGTTCTAATAAAAAGCATTTTTCACTTGGGACACATTAAATTTGTATGCAGTCAGTTGGCTGTTGGCTTACGAGGGCCATTACTATCCTTTTCATCATAAAGTAATTTATTCTTTTAAGAAAGTTGGAAGGTAAGAGAAAGGAGAACTGCATCCAAGTTCCTTTCCCCAGGCTAACGACTCTGGGGCCTTCTGAGAGGAGGAGCAGGCCTCGTGCTGCCTGCAGCCACCCCACAGCCCGCAGCTGCATGGCTCATCTTGGTAGAGACGCCGGTGGAAAGAATCGCCCCAGTTTTGCAGTTTCTGGAGTGCATGACATCTTCCAATTCCACAATACTGGCAGCCCAGTAGCAGCGCAGCAGAGTAGGTGGGAAGTAGCCCAGAAGGCCAGCAAGCCAGGAAGTCAAAACACTAGCGCGGGGGCTCGGCTAGGAGCACAGGGCTTGGTGAATCCTCACCTAGACCCATTGTGAGATAGAATTGGAGCACTGGAGCACTGTCCTCCCGTTGTTCATTGATTTGCTTGAGCGGGCCCAGTAGCATCTTCATTGTGAGACTTGTTACTGTGTTTGGCATATTGAATATGTCACGGGCACAGGGAGCTTGCCAGGCTTTGCCGTGCAGGCGAGATATTCTCGGTAGCTTTCCGAGCTCTCCGAGAGGGGCGGAGGAATCGAACCTGGCTTGGTCAGGCCAGCCGCGCGGAAGGCAAACGCCCTACCGCTGTGCTATTGCTCTAGCCCATGAGATAGAACAAGCTTCACAAATTTTCTTATACTACTTTTTTTTTTTTTTGTTCTGTCTTCCAGTTTGTTGTAACAAGCGGTGTGTTATTTTTGTGCCTATTAAGGGGACAGGTGTGGGGGTGGGTGGGAAACTGGTGAGAGTGGTTGGGACATATATACATATATATACACATATCAGTATATAAATATATATATATATATACATATATATATGTATGTAATTTTTTTTTAAGGCCATACTGGAGCTGTGCTCCTGGTTGGCCCTGCAATCAGAGGTCACTCCTAGCAGGGATCATGGGACCGTGTGGGGTGCAGGAATTAAACCTGGGTTGACTGCATGGGAAGGCAGACTCTTTACCTGCTGTCAAGTCTTTACCAGACTTTGTCCCTTGAATGAGCTTTTGACTATCTCACATGTCATCATTTACTTGTATTCTGAGATTACTAGATGACCTGTGCCAGGCTCTTGGTGACTTCTTAAGGTCGAAGTGAGGGTTTTAAACTGGAGAGAATGTATAGTGGTTGGGTCACTTACCTTTCATGCAGCTGATCCTAGTGACCTGGGTTCAATCCCCAGCAGCAAAGCCAGGAGTAATTCCTGAGTATCCCTGAGTGTGCCCCCCCCAAAAAAAAACCAAGAAAAAAAACAATAAAAGACCCCTCCACCCCCAAGACAACAACAACCATCCAAACAAAAGAAAGTGAGGTTTTTTTTGTTTGTTTGTTTTTTACTTTTTTGGGTCACACCCAGCGATGCACAGGGGTTATTCCTGGTTCATGCACTCAGGAATTACTCCTGGCCGTGCTCGGGGGACCATATGGGATGCTGGGAATCGAACCTGGGTCGGGCCGTGTGCAAGGCAAATACCCTACCCTCTGTGCTATCACTCCAGCCCCGAAAGTGAGGATTTTAAAGTAGCTTGGTTTGTTTTGCTAGAAAGTTAAACCTGTTCAGATTTGGAAGTATTTGAAGTCATTCTCTGCTGACATCACTGTGTGTGAAAGGATCCATATTGAACATTGAAAAGGGCTGTCTCTGTTTCCTTAATATATATAAAAATTGTTGCTTGTATTAAATTGCAGGACTTTCTCATGTTTGGAGGGGCAGGGAGCGTGATCTCGGACTATCCCAAGTGGTGCTCGGGAACTGCTTCCGGTTCCCGGGGGGTGGGGGGGGGGGTTTGAGCCCAGTGCCGGGGTCTGATTGCACGCAAAGCAAACACCTTAGCCCCTGTACTGCCTCTCGTGCCCTTTCACCCCTGCCATTTTTCAGTTTGTTACTTCCTACAGTCCGTGAAAGCTTTCATTTGGTTCTGTGAGCTTTTGACCTGACACTTCTTTTATAACTCGTAGGTGCGACTTGTTCAGAAGAAAGATACAGGGCATGTGTATGCAATGAAAATACTCCGCAAAGCAGATATGCTTGAGAAAGAGCAGGTAAAGCATAGCTCTGGCAGAGCTTTCAGTGAGCTTATGATTTTAGCTTTGTTTCCTAAAACTCTGACTTTTTTCTGATTTGACATGTTTATTCTTTATTAGACTTTCTAAGCTATGTCACGTATACTCATAGTTTTGCTTTTCTCTGCCTAAAATAATACCTGAACATTTTGTGCTGTCTTTTAAAAATTAAAGACCTATGTGAGAAACAGCTTCTATTTTGTCTCAGTTTATCACAAGATGTCTGTCCTGAGATCACTTTGAGGTCGCACACGGTCTGGTGGCACGTTTCTTACTGAATGCTGAGAGATAAAAATGTGTCTGCATCTTAGATCTAATGTATCTTCGTATACTCTATTATGATGTATATTTCAATGTCTTAATATACTTCTGTACACGCAAACCAAAGTTGGACCTTCTGAGTAGCACGTTACTATTTAAGAGATAACAGTATTTTAATTTCTAAATAAATTTGAAGAAATATAATGCAAACGGCAGAGCATTGCAAATTGTCTTTAATAATTAATTACAGGTGTCGGAGCGATAGTACAGTGGAGAGGGTGGCCAGGTTCTATCCCCAACATCCCGTATGGTCCCCTGAGCACCTACCTCCAGGAGAGATTCTTAAGCTCAGAGCCAGGAGTAAGTCCTGAGCACTGCTGGGTGTGGCCCCCAAACAAACAAAGTTAATAACATTGAAAAATCGTAAACTGTCTTCCAAATAGATGTATAAGCTGCTTAAGAACTTAATAGAGGGCTGGGCGATAGCTCAGGGGCCGCAGAGCATGCCCTGGCAGACGTTCCAGCCCCTGCACTGCACCCGGCGTGGTCCTGGAGTGCTCACGGCTGCTTGTCCCAAGCCCACACCGCTGGTCTGAGCAGTCCCAGGAGTAAGCCTGGGGCTCTCTTGAACACTTGGGAGCCTTTTCCCACCAAAATGGATTTCAAATATTAGCATATTAAGGATGAAAATGGAGATGGACTATGGATTATTTCATTTTGCTGGCTGCTTCAGAACAGATTAATTCCTAATAAAAAATATCTGTAAAGATTAGATGCTATTGCAGAGAAGTGAGCGACCCCTGTGACCAAGAGAACTTCGATATAGAGCCCCAGAGCAGGGTGGAGACAGGTCCACAGGGTAACAGAAAACTCCCCAAACATGCTATGATAGCTCGTTTCCTCAAACACTGTGTTTTCTTCAAAGCCAGTTTTGAAAATTTCTTGATACGAAAGTCAACGAAATGTTCCTAGAAGTAGAATTTTAAATTAACTTAATTGCTTGGTCACATTGCTGATTCCTTGTTCTGTAGGTTTGATCTCAGTCTGATCCAGTTTAATTTCTGGCCACACACCTTAGGACCTATCAGCCTCCTGCATCATGTTTAGTCTAGATGGGAGTGGAAGTGGACCAATAGAAACCCATTATTTTCAGTGACAGTGACAAATTTTGATTTAAAGCCTACTTTTTAGTAAGATATAGGTGCCTTCGGCTGGAGCACCTGTACAGTGGGTAGGGGTGCTTGCTTTGCACGTGACTGACCAAACCGACCAGGCTGACCCCTAACATCTCATCTGGTTCCCCGCCACCACCAGGAGTAATTTCTGTGTGCAGACTCACAAGTTACCCCCAAGCATCGCTGGGTGTGGCCCCCAGACACTAAGCAGTAAACAGCAAAAAGGTGCAGGCGCCTTATGTAGAGAAGTTGTTTTTTTTGTTTCCTTTCACTAAACAGGAATGAAAGCTGTCCACTGAGAGCTCAGGTTATTATTCTGTCTCAGAGGATGGAAGTTTCTGCTATCTAGAAAATAAATTTTCAAGGAGCAGAAGACCAGCATTTAGTTCACTTTTTTGTTTCTCTTTAAGTGAAAAAGGAAAAAAATCACTTGTTGTGATGCCAGTGAGGTTTCAGGATGGGGGGAAAAAAAAGGGCTTTTATCTCTGCTTTCTTCATGCCCAGAATAGCAACTAGTATGTAGTTCCCACTATATCAGATATTCATAGGACAGGGAAAAGGGAATCTTTGGTGTCATTTGCACCTCAGGCTCATTTTTTGTGTTCACCTGACTCTGCTCCTAGACCTGAAGGTTCCTAAATGCTGTTTCGTCTCCAGGTGAGAAGGGCACAGCTGTGTCCTCACAGGGACAAACGGGGAAGGTCGCAGTCACTATTTTGTCTTTCAAAGTGAGGGACAAGTGATAACAGGAAGCCCCCCCCCCCCCCTTATGCTTCCTGCACCAGGCAGAGCCTTTCCCCAGAGCTAGGGCCGTGGAGGCGGTGAAGGCTGCCTTGGTCACGCTAGTGACTGGGACTTGCTGCAGTGCAGATGCTGCTGTGTCCCAAACGTCTTACTTCTCTATGAGCAAGGGCAGATAGCTCCTTAGTGTATTAGGCTTTACGTTACATTAACACTGTTTCTTACCACCTTTACCTTCCATTTTTCCACCCTTATACCTTGTCAGTGTTTTTCTGCAATATTGAAGCTATCAAAAATGTCCCCAAAGTGCATTTTTAGTAAGAGCTCAAATATGTAAACTCAGCTTCTTCCAACATCCAAGGGTTCGCATGGAAGACTGGTAGACTGGTAGACCAGGTGTGAGACAAGAGAGAATGAAGGATTCTCTGTCTCAGATGGGAGGAACATTGCCTGGCTTTGCCAGAGACATCCTTGTAGCACATAGTATTGCATAAACAAAACAGCAATCATGGACTGAGTCTTCCAAACAAAAATGCTAGTGACCTTTGATACACTTCCTCTCTGCAAATATCATAGAAGTAAAGTCCTATAATAAGACCAAAACCTCTTATAGGATTGGACTGGGCCTTAATAAATTTATATTTGAGTTAACCCAATTTTGGATCTTGTAACCCTTGTAAGAGAAGGACAGGAAGGATCTTGTGACCCTGGTCAGAAGGACAGAAATCGACGTTATGTAGCAATGTTTTGATTGCTATTAGAGTAAATGAGGTTAAATTTGATTAACATTTTCATCGAGAAAATCTGTCCCTTCTCACTGATCTTCAGCAACTTCATCTCCTTAGCTTCTACTTTAGTCCAAGTAGAAACTGATAAAATGTCATAAATTTTAATCTTTAACTTAGGTTTTATTTGTATTTCAGTTCAGAAGGAATTAATCAAGCATACTAGCAGTAACTAAATGCTGTGACATTGTGTTACGAAATTGTCAACCAGGACATTGCCGTTATAGACCCAAGGCAGGACTTGAGAGAGTCTCATCTTGGAGACTTTTTTCATCATAAAAAATGATTCGGACAAAAGTATATGCAAAAGAATGGTAATTTTTAAATAATCAGTTTCAATGAGTAGTATCGTTCGAGTTGCCGTTTGCATTAAATCCATTCATTTTGCCATTTGTAATTCTTTCATCACTCGGGATTTCACTGCCAAATCTCAAGTCAGACGTCAATTTCAAACGGGAAGGTTTTTGCCTAGGCTTGACTTCTGTCTCTTGTATCACCGCAGTCTGATACTCAAGATGGTATTCAAGTTGTTTAAACAAATATACGGTCTAGTAAATCCGAGCAAAGCCTGTCATTAATCCAATGCATATACCCCCAGGTCGGCCACATTCGTGCGGAGCGTGACATTCTAGTGGAGGCAGACAGTTTGTGGGTTGTGAAAATGTTCTATAGTTTTCAGGATAAGCTAAACCTCTACCTAATCATGGAGTTCCTGCCTGGAGGTAATTACCTGACCATGAAAGGTTTTTTTCCTTTCTTGTTTTGTGTTTTTTCCCCTCTCACGCCAATTAACTCTCCTTTCTACTTTTGATTGTCCTGACAGAGTTGCTTTCTGTATCTTTTTTAGGTCTGTAAAGGAAGTCAGTAAGCTGCCTTGTGCTGAGGTGCCTTGCTACAATTCTTAGTGCCCTGAAAGTGACTTTCTCACTCATCCTCACGATTTCTTTCTTTTCTACTTCTCTTAAAATGTATAGGAATATACTAGGGACTCTGCCTGCTTTCCTGTCAGTGGAAATCGTACAATAAGTAACCAGTGACAGATTTGAAGCTCTACCAGTTCTTGCTTCAACTTTTTCTTTTTTATAATCTGTATTAATAAGTGACTTTCTCATTTCTTAGTAATTAGAACGAATTTTTCATTTGTGGTATTGGAAGTTTTATGTCACTCGACATGTGTGTGTCGTCTAAGACAACCAGTTCCCAAGTAGACCCAGAGCAGAATGCACTGCCCGTCTGCAGCAGGGAGCTCTGTTTCCAGCGAGCGGATGGACTGGAGTGTTTGGTGGGACTAATAGAGCAAATAAAATCGTGCCATAGTTCGATCTTATGACAACCTTTAGTTCAGATCTAGGGTCATCAGTGTTTTTTTCTTTTTTTTTTTAATCAACAATTGATGAAGATTAGAAGAAGGGTCTGGTAGACGAAGAAGAAATGTCTTTAAAGGCCAGTTCCTAAGTTGGCGTCAGACCAGCGTAGACTCCCTCTCCATGCGCCTCCCTCGGCGTCACCTGCGCCGTCTTCCAGGGCTTCTCATGTCTTCTGGACACTTGGCACTTGGTGGAGATGACCTGCAGGACCACAGACCACTTGGCCTGGGCTTTCTCATCTGCAGGCCCCGCTCACACGGGGGAAGCCGTTGGCTGCTCTTGGGCCCCAAACACGGCAGCCTGAGTGCTGACCGCATGCCCTGGCGTCACGTCTCTTACGCACCCGCAGATGCCTGTGTGGCTGCCAGAAATGACAGGAATCCACCTATTTCAGTGCTTGGAATTGAAATGGCAGTAAAATGGGGGGTGGGGGGAGACAGCATTTTGAGAAAGTGTTCGTTTTACCTAAAAGTGATTTTCTCCAAGACTACAAAACTTTCCCCTGAATAAGTGGAAATCAGAAAGCATAAATCAAAGGTCTCTTTCTCTTTCCCTGTTTTCGAATACAAATGACTCTAAGTGAGATCTTTACTGAATCTTTCCTGTTTCTCTTAGCTTCTATTTACTTACGTGTACTTCCTTTACTTTGTTTTTGTCTATCTGTTGAGTTAGGATCAGAATTTTTAAAATGAATCATTTCATGTTTCTGGTGTTTAGTATAAATAATTAAAATTTGAATTTGCAGAGAAAATAATAGTGTGTTGTCAGTGTTGCGTAAGGGATATTGTTTTATATTGAAGTGCTTATAATAAAACACTGGAGGAAAAATACCCACTGGTCTTGGGGGGTGTTCACTGTGTACCTTTGGGATGTGGTTATGATACAGCATGTAGCACTTTCAGTTCCTTTTTAGCTTTCGTTAACTAACACATTGTTACCTAAATCCCACCTTTTAATTTGCTTATACTCTGTTTTGTGAATAGAAATTGGGGAACTTCTTTGACCTTCTCCAAATGTTAAAAGATTTTTTTGACATTTCAACCTTCCTAGAAGAACAGTCCGATATCTGTGGAAGTGACTCTTTGGCTAGAGACAGATCTGCAGGTATCTGTGCAAAGTGCACAGTGAAGTAGCTTTTTATCTGGTGCATTTTTCCTAAGCCAAATTACTTTTCGCATGAGAGAATTTCCCTTTTTTCTCTTCAGTAACACGTAAACCACAGCTTAGCGGTATCAGTAGCTTAAGCGAAAGTACTTTGCGCTCTGTGCTGTGGATTTTACTTAGCCAGTGTTAGAAACTTTTGGCCCTTTCTGTTATGCTGGTCGGTCTCTGGAGCACAGCAGAGGCCTCTTAGCTTTTCCTTATGTTGGTAAATGGGGAAGACGTCTCTGAAAACCCGCACTTACTCATGTGTTCTCCGTGTGTGTGTGTGTGTGTGTGTGTGTCTGTCTGTCCGTCCATCCGTCCGTCCGTCCGTCCGTGTGTGTGTGTATATCTGTCTGTCCGTCCATCCGTCCGTGTGTGTGTGTGTGTGTGTGTGTGTGTGTGTGTGTGTGTGTGTGTTGTGTCTTCATTTCTAGGGGACATGATGACTCTCTTGATGAAGAAAGACACTCTGACAGAAGAAGAGACGCAGTTCTACATAGCAGAAACCGTCCTGGCCATAGACTCCATTCACCAGCTCGGGTTCATCCACAGGGACATCAAGCCGGACAACCTGCTTCTGGACAGCAAGGTGCAGTGCCCGGCTCCTGTGTTTCTGGCCTGAGCAGCCTTTCTCTGAGCTGTGCTAGTACCAGTAGGAGAACTGTGGAACCATGAGCTACCTTATTTATTTATCTGTTTATTTGTTTATTTTCAGATTCTGATTTGCTCTCTCCAGTGTGCTATCTCGCACAATAATCAATTTCTCTGATAGGCTTATAATTCTGTTGAACGGTTCTTAAAAATTAAGGCCTCTTGGGGCCGGAGTGATAGCACAACGGGTAGGGCATTTGCCTTGCATGCGACCAACCCGGGTTCGATTCCCAGCATCTCATGTGGTCCCCTGAGCACCGCCAGGGGTAATTCCCGAGTGCAGAGCCAGGAGTAACCCTGTGGGTGTGACCCAAAAAGCAAAAAAAAATTTGAAAATTAAGGCCATTTAAAAAATGATTGGAGCACGCATATGTTGCCTGAGCTCATGTTCTGCTTGCGCCCACATGGCAGAGCACGTGTGTCGCCCGCATCTCCCCTCTTGAGATGCGTACTTTCATGCTCTCATGGCTAATGCTGGGATGTGTGTAGGGGCTCTCTCCGCCTTTGGAGAAGCCTGGGTTCTCTCTTGAGCACGATGCTTTTCACTCTCTCCCTCTTTCTCTTCTTCCTTCCCTTCAAAACCTCGAACTAAAATCTGTTCCACTTCGAAAAATCAGTATCACGGTATCACAGTCTTCCCGTTGTTCATTGATTTGCTCGAGCGGGCCCAGTAACGTCTCCATTGGAGACTTTGTTGTTACTGTGTTTGGCATATCGAGTACGTCACGGGGAGCTTGCCAGGCTCTGCCGTGCGGGCGAGATACTCTCAGTAGCTTGCCGGGCTCTCCGAGAGGGGCGGAGGAATCGAACCCAGGTTGGCCATGTTGGCTGCGTGCAAGGCTAACACCCTACCGCTGTGCTATCACTCCAGCCATGAGAGATAGCACAGCGGGTAGGGCATTTGCCTTGCACGCGGCCAACCCGGGTTTGATTCCCAGCATCCCGTATGGTCCCCTGAGCACTGCCAGGAGTAACTACTGAGTGCAAAGCCAGGAGTAATCCCTGTGCATCTCCAGGTGTGATCCAAAAAAAGAAAAAAAAATACTTCGAAAAAATAAATAAATTATTTAAGAGAAAAATTGATTTACAAGGTTTTTAAAATAAAAGGTGAAGATAGTTACCTTCCTCTTAGCATATAAGTGGCTCTGTTACATGCTTTACCTCTTTTTTTGGGGGGTGAGGTGGGGACTGTTGCTCAGGGTGACACTCGCCTATATCTAGGCTTACTCTTGTCTCTGTGCTCAGGGACCACTCCTGGCGGGTTCAGGAGACTAGAGAGTGTTGGGGATCTAATCTGGGTCAACTGCGTCCCTGCCGTGCGGTCTCTCCAGCCTCAGTGCATCACCTCTTAAGAAAACTGCCTGGCAACCTCCTCAGTTACAGAGGAACCCAGTCAGGAATCCGGACATAAGACAGAACCACTACCAGCACAACATAATCAAGTTCAGGTTCCAAACCACGTTTTCTCTGCTTTAAAGAAAAGCGTTCTCATCCTCTTTAATGTTTTCTTTGTAGTCATCCTTTTTGACGGGGGACTGGTATGAAGGCGTTCGGCCACATCTGACTGTTCTTAGGACTTCCTCCTGGCTCTGGGCGCAGGGACCAATCCTGGAGCTGTTTGGGGGTTCCAGGAGGCAGACCTTGGGTTGGTTGTGTGCAAGGCACGTGCCTTAATCTCGCACTCATCTCCAGCCCTTTTTGTGTTTATGATTAGACATGTACACAGACTTTCTTGCTTAGTTCTTAACAAGAAGATTCTTGGTAAAATTCCTGTACCATGGAATTTTAGAAATCCCTTGGCATGTCTCTTGTACTTGACTCTGTTTTCTTATCTATAAAGTGAATCTGTTGACCTAAAAAAGATCTTGAGTACCTTCTAGTTCTAAAATTCTAATTTTTAGTTCCTTTTACCCAACATTGTTACATTGACCAAAAACTTTTTTTCGACAGAAAAGTGAATTTAGCTTTTAGGATATTCCTTCTTGTGATTTTGTGGTCACTTTCTTGCTGTTTGAAAATCCGCACGTTTTTATTTTGGTTTTGGTTCATACCCAGCCCCCAGCTGTGTTGCTCCCCCTGGCGGGCAAACTCAGTACCCTGCTGTACTCTCTCTCCAGCCTCTGAAACCTCAGGTTTCAAGAAAGCAAGAGACTTGTTATAATTGTTTTGATTATCAATATAGTCATCATAGCTATAGTGTATATACATAGTAGAAAATCAGAACAAGGCTGTAGAGATAGCACAGTGGGCTAAATGCATGGAAGTCTAGCACCAAATGGTCCTGAGTGCTTCTGTGAATGACACGTGAGCACAGCATGGAGGTCTGGAGCGTTGTTGGGTATGCACCCCCTCCCCCATTGGAAACAATACAGAGAGTTGTAAACAAGAAAATTATTTATAATCTTACCACTTAACAATAACCGTTCTTCTGGTTAAATAGCGCTAATGCCTTTTTGTGTGTGTGTCAGTAAATCATACAGTTAACATTCTAAAGGTAGTGACTTGCTTTTTCTTTCAAGTATTCAGTGTATATGGGCCCTTTTCCATGTCATTACTTCAGATCTGTTTTTGATAAAGCACTGCTTCTCTTTTATGTGGCCTTCAGATGCCCACGTCCTGCTTCACGGGCACCAGAGTGCTGGTGTAGTTGTGTCCTGTGATCTCTGCAAACATATGAAAGACTGAGAATAAGAACATGGGCATTCATTGCTGAGGAGTGAGGAATGTTTTCAGGTTGTGCTATATAGAATTATAGAAAAATGTTGTCGTGATCTCATTTATGTGTTCAGCCTTGTAGATTAGAGAAGCGCAAAGGTAGAATTGTTACTCGTTAATCAGAATGGTTATAGAATTTCCTGAAAATCTGAGCTTGACTATCTTAGTTTTGGTGTACTGACTATTTAATTTTTTTTTCTTCTTATAGGGGCCACACTGGTAGTGCTGGTACTGAGCTCAGGCCTTCACGTATCCTGGGCCTGTGCACTGCCCCCGCAAGCTCCCAGCCCTAGCTACTGCTTTTTCAGACCCATTTCTTTCTATTTTTTTTTTTTTCACGAATCACTGTGAGATACAGTTACAGACTTAGAAACTTCCGTGCTTACGTTTCAGTCATACGGTGATCGAGTACCCATCCCTCCATCAGTGCCCATTCTCCACAACCAGTGTTTCCAGTATCCCCCCACCCTCTTTCCATCCCTCCTCTGCCCCTGTGGCAGGCACATTCCCTTTCACTCCTCTCTTCTTTAGTATGTTAAGGTTTGCAATGTAGGTGTTAAGTGGCCATCATGTTCATGTTCAGTCTGTAGTCTGCTTTCAGCACACATCTCCCATCTCGAGCGGGCCCACCCTTTGCTTGGTGGTCCCTTCTCTGTCTCAGCTGCCTTTTCCCCCAGCATGTGAGGCCAGCTTCCAAGCCATGGAGCTATCCTCCTGGTCCTTATCTCTGCTATCCTTGGGTGTTAGTCTACCATTTTGTTACATATATTCCATAAATGAGTGCAGTCCTTCTCTGTCTGTCCCTCTCTTTCTGACTCATTTCACTTAGCATGATACTCTTTATGTTAATCCACTTATATGCAAATTTCATAACTTCATCTTTTCTAACAGCTGCATAGTATTCCATTGTGTAGCTGTACCAGAGTTTCTTTAACCAGTCATCTGTTCTTGGGCACTTGGGTGTTTTCCAGATTCTGGCTATTGTGAACAGTGCTGCAATGAACATACGAGTGCAGATGTCATTACTACTATACTTTTTTGCATCTCCGGAATATATTCCCAGAAGTGGTATTGCTGGGTCAAATGGGTGCTCAATTTCTAATTTTTTGAGAATCCTCCATACTGTTTTCCAAAAGGGCTGAACCAGATTCCCATCAGCAGTAAAGGAGAGTCCCTTTCTTTCTACATCCACGCCAACACCGGTTGCTTTTGTTCTTTTGGATGTGGGCCAGTCTCTGTGATGTGAGATGGTATCTCATTGTGGTTTTGATCTGCATCGCCCTGATGATTAGTGATGTAGATCATTTTCTCATGTGCCTTTTTGCCATTCGGATTTCTTCTTTGAGAAAGTTTCTGTTCATTTCATTGCCCCATTTTCTGATGGGGTTGGATATTTTCTTCTTGCAGAGTTTAACCAGTGCCTTGTATATCCTTGATATCAGCCCTTTATCAGAAGGGTGTTGGGTGAATATCCTTTCTCATTTTGTAGATTGTATTTTGGTCACTGTTTCTTTTGAGGTATCGGAGCTTACTTTAAGATAGTCCATTTGTTTATCTCTGTTTCCACTTGTCTGGTCAGTGGCATTTCATCTTTGAAGATACCTTTAGCTTCAGTGTCGTGGAGGGGTTTGCCTACCTTGTCTTCGATGTATCTTATGAATTCTGGTCTGATGTTGAGGTCTTTCATCCGTTTTGATCTGACTTTTGTGCATGGTGTTAGGTAGAGGTCTAAGCCCATATGTTTGCATGTAGCTGTCCAGTTTTGCCAGCACCATTTGTTAAAGAAGCTTTCCTTGCTCCACTTCACATTTCTTGTTCCCTTATCAAAGACTAGATGATCATATATTTGAGGGTGTGTGTGTGTGTGTGTACGGATATTCAGCCCTGTTCCATTGGTCTGTGGCTCTGCCTTTTTTCCAATACCATGCTGTTTTGATTATTACCACGTTGTAGTAGAGTTTGAGGTCGGGGAAGGTGATGCCACCCATCCTTTCCCCCAGGTTTGCTTTAGCTATTCGTGGAGGTTTGTTGTTTCATATGATTTTCAGGAATGTTTGATCCATTTCTTTGAAGAATGTCTTGGGTGTCCTGATAGGGATCGCCTTGAATCTGTATAGTGCCTTGGGGAATATTGCCATTTTGACAATGTTAATTCCCCCAGTCCATGAGCAGGGGTTGTGTTTCCATTTCTTCATGTCCTCTTTGTTTCGTGAAGTAACGTTTTGTAGTTTTCTTTGTACAGGTCCTTGACCTCTTTAGTTAAGCTGATTCCGAGGTACTTGATTTCTGATCAGACCCATTTCTTTCTTAGTGGTGTCCAACAAAACTTGGAATTATAAATACTGTACGTTTTGTTCCTTGAGCTTATAGAATAAATTATTTGCAAAGTTGGAGAGAAATGCCAGATAGTATTCTAGGTCATAGTGCCCCTTATTTGTCAGTTTCCCATTACAGCATGCTGACTGTACAGCCCATCTCAGAGGGATTTCTTCCTCCTTTCTTTGTAGTTGCTGGGGCTGTGGGGTGCCGTTCTTGGCAAGCTGAGTTGGTGATTCAGAGTGAGGGCTCAAGGATGTGGCCTGGAATAAGCCAGGCTACCCTGGCAGTTCTGAGACTCCCCCCCAGAGATGCCCAGGCGTGCTGTGGGGCATGTGGGGACAGAACCTGGTCACTCACAGTCGTGCATATGCTTTACCCTGTGTCATCTCATTGGGCTTTTTCTTTTAATTTAGATAATTTGATTTACAATTAGTGTTAATGTTTATGCCCTTGATGTACAAATCTACTGTATCTCCACCACCACCAGGTGCCCTAAACGCCTCTCTCATGGACCTTATCAATGAAATTTTTTGCTTTTTAGGTCACACCTGGCGATGCACAGGGGTTACTCTTGGCTCTGCACTCAGGAATCACTCCTGGCGGTGCTCAGGGGACCATATGGGGATGCTGGGATTCGAACCCAGGTCGGCCACATGCATGGCAAACGCCCTACCCGCTGTGCTATCACTCCAGCCCCTATCAATGGAATTTCTTTAAAAATAAAATGCCTGATGTATTTGAAAGGAGTTTGTAGCCTTGTACCCTGGGAAATTTGTTAAGGACTGAGGGTGGAATGTTAAGGATGCCAAAACGATTGGGGCTTAGACTTTGCCTCCCACGCCTTCTGATTTTGTGACCCTAAATAATTTCGACCTCTGACCATCAGAATTGCCTTCTGTATTTTTGATTTTGCCTTAGAATGTTGCCACTACAGAAATAACTACCTCTCTCTTCCTTAAAGGCAGGTTATTCGCCAGGCATCATATTAAGAGTCTCATCATTCCTGGCAGGAAAATAATATTTTACCCATTTTCCAGATAACCTGTTTATAGGGAAAGAACAGGGGTTGATTTCTAGTGTGAGTAGAGTCGTTTCATCAAAAAGTGATGTAGCGACACTGAGTTGGAAGTGTGGCTTATGGGCTTTGAGACAACACTTCAGTGCTGGGCGACCACTTCCAGCTCTCTGCTGGGGGCTCACTCCTCGTGGCACGCTGGGGTCCATGCTGTGCTGGGGATTGAACCTGGATCTCCCCCACGAAAACATTTGCTCAGACTGTTGAGCTACCTCTCTGATCTTTTATACAGCACGTTAAGAACACAGTGCCTTCCTTTCTGTATCCTTCTTCCTATACTCTGGGGCCAAGGGTGATCTGTAGAAGGAAAGACATCGAGGGGGAAGGAAGAAATGAGAAACAGAAGTAATGGGGCTTGGGGGCTTCAGGTATACTGGTGACACGAGTGAGTGGTATAGTCATGCATCCAACGCACAGACTCCACAACACAGAAAACATGAGATCTAAGCTCAGCCCCCGACTTTGAAATGTGTCTGTCACAATGACAAGGGGGCAGAGGCTACGGGGAGGTGGGAAGCATAGGAACATGGGTGGAGAGAAGCTGATGCTAGTGGTAGGAGTGTTGTTGATACATCGTATGCCTGAAACTCAACTATCAATGACTTCGTGAATCACAGTTCTTTAAATTAATTTTTTTTAAAGTAACTGGGGCCCAGAGCTCGAATACAGCAGGTGAGCGCTTGCCTTGCTAGCCATTGCACTAGGTTCAGTCCCCGGCACCTCCCCAAATCCTCAAGGAGTGATCCCTGAGTACAGTGCCAGGAGTAAGCCCTAGAACAACCAGATGTCCAAAAAACAAAGAAAAGAACATCATAGTGCCTGGCTTGTAGGAAGAGTAAGTTTTTCTGGAGAAGAATAAGTCAGATCTGTGATTGGAAGATAGTATGGCAGCATTTGTTAGGAACTATACAGTAAACTTTATTCTGATTATCTCTGTAGTAACAGAGTTTATCATGATACTAATTAAACAGTAGAATACCTGCATGAACAAAGATGTGATCATTCAGTCATTATTTAACAGCCAGTTAGTAAGACTGTCCTCTGTTCCATGGACAGGCTTGGGAACGCAGCCCTCGCTGATATAAAGGTGCTTATAATTTATCTTATTGAGGGCAGGAAGGGGAAATGGAGTAAGCGTCCAGTCCTAGGGAATGTCTAGGTAAATGATGTCTGAGTTAATTAAATTGAATACAATACAGACGTTAAGAATAGTTTTGTTGGTTTGGTTTTTTTTTTTTTTTATTTTGCTTTTTGGGTTACACCTAGCGATGCTCAGGGCTGACTCCTGGCTCTGCACTCAGGAATTACTCCTGGCAGTGCTCGGGGAACATATGGGATGCTGGGAATCGAACCTGGGTCGGCCGCGTGCAAGGCAAACACCATACCCGCTGTACTATCACTCCAGCCCCATAATTATGTTTTTATTATTTATTTTAGGAAGGCTTTCCAAGCAGTGCTTGGGGAAAGTTGCGCCTTCTGGTGAAACTTGACCAAAGTATCCACTTTTGGGCCTGGGGCATGGCCTGGGGTGTGTTCAGGCTGGGCTGTGCCGATCAGAATTTGACTCAGCCTGTACTTCTGGGGGCCGTGTTGTACCAGGGTTGGCACTCAGGCCCTGGCCCATGCCAAGTATGAGCCCCTGACCACTATGTTATCTTCCTGACCCTAGATAGGATAATTTTGAAGAAATAGAAACACAGAGGAATGTTTATTTTGAGTTCAAAAAGTGGTAAGATCCTGGAAATGAAGAGATAATATAGAAGGTAGGGCACTTGCCTTGCATGTGATCTACCTAGGTTCGATCTCCAGCACCCCAGATGATTCCCCAAGCCTGCCAGGAGTAAGCCCGGGCACCTCCAGGTGTGCCCCCAAAACAAAAACCAAGTAAAATTCTTAAGGACTATGAAGGGTTCAAAGATGTTTACAGGCTTCTAGATGTTTACAGGTTTCTATGTGTATGAAAATTTAGATCATATGCAAAATTATTAGTAAGTAGGACTTGGGCTGGCCTTTTAAAGATGTATTTGCTGTTTTTCAAAGATGCATTTGCTGTTTTTGTTCCCCTTAGGGCCATGTGAAACTTTCCGACTTTGGCCTTTGCACAGGACTGAAAAAGGCTCATAGGACGGAATTTTACAGGAACCTGAACCACAGCCTCCCCAGCGACTTCAGTAAGTGGAACAGCCAGATTGGCCTTGGGTGGTCTCTTCCTAGACCTAGAGGAGCCTCTCCTCTGGTAGCTGAAATCTTCAGGGCAGCTCAGGAGACTCAGCATGGTTGGAATCTGTAGAGAGGAAAGATCCTTTGTGGACTGACCTGGGATGTGAGGCCAGGTGTATGCTACTAAGTAGGTCAAGGCAGGTGTCCGAGTGAACATCCGGTGCTCTGCTAGGTGCTGGCGGTGAGTATGGGACAAGCAGACGTGACTTGCCAAAGAAAAGGATACTCGGGACATTCAAGATTAGTTCTTTCTAGGGGTTTCCTTCTGTCATGGCAGAACACCTTGGTCTCAGAAGAGTTACTTCTCCAGTGCACCGTCAAACCATTGAACTCTGCAGTCAAATTTCATCCAACTCTAGAGCAGCTTATGTCAAGTAGACTAGAATTTCAGAGGTATCTAATTCTCTACAGTTATTACTCTTGGAAATTTAGTGGGGATTAACATTGTCAACGGTTTTGATCCCCTTTGGGGCTTCTGCTTCTGATGAGGCTGAATTCCTTCTGATTCTTTTTGAGACCTGAACTCTCTGTCCATAGAACCACATCAGAGTACAGCTCTCATTCTGGTTCTGAGACTAAGGGGCTCTGACCTGGGCTCACAAACATTCTGGAAAATGTGTCATCCAGACTTAATGGTGTATTGGCAGGAAAAGCAAGATTTTTTTTTTATTTATTTATTGAATCACTGTGGGAAAAGTTACAAAGCTTTCAGGTTTAGGTCTCGGTCATGCAAATATCAAACACCTTTCCTTTTACCAATACTTATTTTTTACCACGAACCCCAATAAAATCCCACCCCCCCCCCCCCCCAATGCCTGTGAGGCAGATGAGTTCTAGTTAACACTCTCTACTTTGACTAGATTCATTGTTTCGATAAAAGATGCACCATTATTATTTAGAGTTTACCCCCCGCCCCCCAATCAGACATGCTGAAAAAGCATTGTGAAGTGATTTGCTTTCTACAGCTGGGTTCAAGAATTAAATGTTTTGGATTTCTGCTATTTTACTTATTAACCCTGGAAGTATTTCTACTGAGAGTCAGATAATTAAGAGATTGGTTTCTGTGCTCTGGAGTCGTGGCTGTGCCGGAGAGCCGCTCGTGGGGGCAACTGGTGACCTCGGTAGGGCGGGAAGGACGGGCCGGAACGCCCCCCTTCCCATGAGGTTTTCGTCGCCCCCAGACCCCCGGCTCAAACCTGCTGTCCACAAGGCTCCCGTGCGGATGCCATCTTTCTTTCCAGAGAGCAGGAAAAGCAAGATTTTAAGGTCTCGGATGACTTGAACCAGAGCCAATGAAAAAATGTAGTAAACAATATTCCTTCCTGAACTCTGATGAGGATTTGTTTTCTCCACTCTTAGCTTTCCAGAATATGAATTCCAAAAGGAAAGCAGAAACATGGAAAAGAAACAGACGTCAGCTTGTAAGTAACATTTGTCTTAATTGTTACAAAGCAAATATGCCTATTTAGAAAATGGGCACAGAACATTGCATTTGTTATGTGCAGTATACTTCCTGTATGGAGATTATCTTCCTAGGGCGCTGTTGTTATGTCTGTAGCACCCAGAATACCAGAAGGATGGAAAATTGGCCTAGACATTTTCATAGATAACCTTATTCTGAACTTTTTTTGTAGGTGACAACCCCTTCCTTCGCATTCTTATTTTTCCTTTCTTAGGGGGAGGAGTTTGGGCCACCTCTGGCAGCACTCAGAGGTTACTCTTGACTCTGTGCTCAAAGGTTACTCGCAGGGGTGCTTGGGAAACTGTGTGGTGCCGACGATCTAACTTGTGTTGGAGATTGAACTGAACTGATGTCGACTGTGTGCACAGTGAGTGCCTTAACCACTGGGCTCTCTCCCTGGTTCCCAAATTTTGCCCTGTTTTTATGGTAGCAAGGGGATTTCAAAGTGAAACTAAGTATAAATACCTGTTTTTAATAGTTTTAAGACAGTGGTTCTGAAACACTAAACATTTTGATGCTTACAAGATAGATAAGATTCCTCCATTCATACTTGTTCCACTCTTTCCTACTTTTTGCAGTGGAAACAAAGAAGTTAGTTGTACTTAAAAACTGGAAAGAAATTGGGGAAATCCTTAGTTTTTATATTTGCTTTATGCACAATGAGTTATGCCCCAGAAGCTTAAAAATAACATGATTGTGGGGGCCGGAGTGATAGCACAGCGGGTAGGACGTTTGCCTTGCACACAGCTGACCTGGGTTCGATTCCCAGCATCCCATATGGTCCCCTGAGCACTGCCAGGAGTAATTCCTGAGTGCATGAACCAGGAGTAACTCCTGTGCATCACTGGGTGTGACCCAAAAGAAAAAAAAAATAACATGATCGTATTTACCTTAATAGTATGCATGTTGGACGTTATTTGAATAGTAAAAATTCACAAGTGAAATACTGTCTTGGCAAACTTCTACTCCAGTTAGTGCATATTTGACATGTAATGTACATGTCCCAGTTTCTAATTATTAGAAAGTTAGTCATTGAGAAAATAGAATTTTTTTAAGGAATGGCAGTACGACTGCTTGTTTATGTATGCAGTAACTTATCAGGCGTGCCAAAATTATTTTTTCCAGACTTAATAAAATTTTGAACTAGAGTTCTCTGTAATACCTTTAGTTATGCATTAGTTTGTGAATAAGTAGATATGGGTCATGTGAAAATGGAAATGAAAAAGATGGGGTCAGATGCTTCTGTTTTAACCCCAAGATCTACTAGATCTTGGCTGCCTGTCAGAGGTGTCTGGGATATTTGCACACGTATTGATGGCTGGCTCTCGTAGCCAGAGATTCTGATTTGGATGGTGTGGGCCGTATTGCCTGAATATCTGCCTTACTGGTTTATTTGTTTTGGAGGGACCACCTGTGGTGCATAGGGGTTACTCCTGGCTCTGCACTCAGAAATTACTCCTGGCAGTGCTTGGGGGACCAAATGGGATGCTGGGAATTGAACTTGGCTTGGCCACATTGCAAGGCAAACACTCTACCTGCTGTACTATTGCTCCGATCCCTGTTGTAAAATTTGATAACTGAAGAGATAACTGAATAAGTAATTTTTAAGACAATAAATGCCCCTGCATTTTTGAAAAACTTAGGTTTACCTATTTTGGAAAGTCACAACAAGGTGAGGAGTCTTCTATGATTATTATTTTATTTATTTAACTTTATTTTGGGTTTTTTGGGCCACACCCGGTATTACTCAGGACTTATTTATTCTTGGCTTTGAGCTCAGGGATCACTCCTGGCAGGCTGCGGCGATGCCATATGGGATGCCACGATTGAACCCAGTTCTGCTGCATCCAAGGCAACCACCCTACCTGTTCTGGCCAGGCAGCTTAACCTTTGACTACTATTTTAATTAATATTTTGTTTTTTGTTTTAACAATAGGTATTTGCTATTGTTTTTTCTTTATTTTGGTTTTGGGGCTACAAGTTGTGCTCAGGGCTTACTCCTGCCTCTGAGCTCAGGAATCACTCTTGGCAGACTTGGGGGATGATACGGGAAGCTGAGAATCAAATCTGGCTGGTTGAATGCAAGGCAAGCGCCCTACCTGCTGTACTGTCTCTCCAGTCCCTTAAAACTTATTTTAAATGGAGAGGTATCATTAAGCTTAAATACCATAAAAGATTCGTGTATATTTGTCAGTCATTTTTTTTTTGTTGGGGGGCAGGTTTGGGGCCCACATTTGCTAGTTCTCAGGACTTAATCCTGGCTCTGTGCTCAGGGGTCACTCAGTGTTGCCGGAGGTGAAGGGCATAGATGGTCCCCTGGATCAAGCTGGCTTAACTGCAAGGCAGATGCCTTCCCTTCTGTGCTCTCTTTCTGACCCAGCCTGACAGTCTCCTCAGGAGCCCACCCATAGCCTCAGGAGGAGGGAGACTTCACAGTTTCCAGAAGACTTGCTTTTGCTTTGGGGAGGCAACACTTAGAATAAAAGAATAAAATGTGTACTCCTCCCCTTTCTCTCTCATGCAGCTGTACTTCAATTATTTTCACCAGTGTAAAATAATCAAATGCAGAATGTAACCATTTCATTATTAGATGCTCCCGTGTTTTATTTTTTTCTCGCTATAAAAAAAAAACGCAAGAAATCCTTCTTCAGCGTGTCCACAAGGGCTGGACCCGGGATGCACATGACTGTCACAGAACCCCGAGGCCTGAGCTGGGTGATGCATTTTATAGTTCACTCACATCTTTCAATATACATAAGGCTTTTAATACCTTCAGAGTAGTAAAATAAAATAAGTTTTTCTTTATGATTTAGGCTTCTCATATCCTACTGAAAAAATCCTTCCTTCCTTCATGGTTATTAAGATGTTATCCCGCATTATCTTAAACATTTTTGAAGTTTTTTTTTCCCGTTTATAATTCATTTTTGTGTTCACTGTGAGGGAGCAGTCAATTTTTTCCATGGATTAATTTTAAGTAGACATGTTAAATGATATAAACGACAGGGAAATTTTCTTTTTCTATTTGAAATCTATATTTTAAACATGTATTAGTTTCTCTCCAAGAAACAGAAGTGGGTTTTTTTTTTTTTTTTTTTTGCTTTTTGGGTCAGACCCAGTGATGCACAGGGCTCATTCTAAGGAGTTTGGTGACTTGGGTCTTCTTCATTACGCTTTGTACTTACGTGCTTTTTGGTATGCGTCAGTTGTTTTATTGTTTAAAATTCTTCGTAAAAAAGATCCGCTTCAGATTGGGAGATGTGTGTAAAGGTATAAAGGACTGATGCTCTGAATCAGGATTAAGGACTAGGGTTAAGGCATTCCTGTGAGTCAGTAAGACAAAAAGACAACACAGCCGAAAAAAGTAATGGACAAAACAATCTGAGTAGGAATTCACAGGGGGAAAAAAAAAGACCAGAATGTCTAATTAACATATAAGTTTTCACTCAACTTTACCAAAAACAAGAGGAATGCCAATTAAAACAGTGACCAGAGAGATCAGTGTTCATTGGACCGTCAGACATTGAAAGGTCTGACAGAGTTGTGCTGGCAAGCCGTGGAACAGCAGAGGGGCTCTTCTTGCTGAGATGTCTCAGTAGATGCAGTCACTTTGGAGGACCATGGGGAAGACATCAAATTTTACCGAAAATATTTATAACTCAAGACTCAGTGATACTACTGCTAGTATATACTCAAGAGAAAATTTTGCCCTGGTGCCCAAGAAGGTGTTGCAAGAATGTTCAGGTGTTACTTGTCATAGTGAGTGAAATGTTGACGGTGATATAAATGTTTACTTATAGGTGAATTTAAAAAAATAGTGATCTTTATATAAGAAAATTATGCCCCACAGTGAAATGCATTCACTGGAGCTGCACTAGCAAAACTCAGAACTGTGGTCTTGCGAGTGGACGCTTTGGGTGTAATGTGATGCCGGGAAACCCTTTCACTAAGTGTTTAGATAGGGAAGAAGTGAGGGTAGGTCCCCTCAGAAGGCAGCCTCCCAGGGCGAGCTTATCCATTGCACTGCGGATGTGCGGACCCTGTGATGTCCCCAGATGTGGGAGACTGTGGGCTCTGTGGTAGCAGGCAGCTGTGTCCACAACTCCCCCGCCAAGAGAGAGGAGAGATGGAAGCGTTGCTGCACCACTTAGGTGACTGTCAGGGCAGCTTGATGTCAGTGGGGTGGGGGAGGGACTGGGACGCAGAGCTTTTGTTTCCTTGGTTTCATTTATTTCACAAAGACCAGAGGCGATAAAGATTTCAGATTATTAACCTCTGTTCAATACGGATGATGGCTACGCGTGTTGCATTTTTCTGTGCCTTTGTTTTTTTATGTTTTTATACCTCATAATACTTAAAAAAAAAAGCGACACAGCTGTAATTTAAAAAGTGTGAAACAATGGAAGCTCCTGAACAAGAGCTTTTCCTGTGGTAAACCTGCAAATGCCACACACGTTGGAGGGATTGAAAATACCCCTCTGAGACCTGCTACACAGATTATTAAATATTTGATAAATACATGGATAGGTTATAACTTCAGCTTTGGTAGTAAAGCTTTGTTGAATTATTTCCTCAAACCACAGGATTAGTATGATGGGAAGAGGGATAATTATTTTGAATAAGACAAGCCATTTCCAAACTAGACTCTGCTGCCTAAATAATCCTGAGGCCTGGTGCAAAGCTGTTTGGGGCATCAGTTTTACTTGCAAGATGGGGTTAGTTAGGGCCTGTTTCCTGAATTCTGTTAGGAGGCAGCAGGCTTGGGAAGGCACTGGAAGAGCTGGTACTCTTAGGACAGACACCTCTAACCCAGGGAAGTATGTCCAGGCTTTGGCTCTGTGTTGGCAGGTCTCTTGGCCTCACTCACAGTTTTATTACTCATCTCAGAAGTGCTCAGGCAAATCAGATGTGCCATTCAGCTGCTTGCAAGTCCTGCTTCTATAGTGGGGTAGTGGTAGGTCGCACTTGTAGTCTTTGATCTCTGGATTCTGGGCATCCCCTGATTGCCGCCCTCCCTGATGTGTGGTACGTGTTTCAGGCCTTTTCCACAGTAGGTACTCCTGACTACATTGCTCCCGAGGTGTTCATGCAGACCGGGTACAACAAGCTCTGTGATTGGTGGTCGCTTGGGGTGATCATGTATGAGATGCTCATCGGTAAGTCGCATGTTTTCAGCGGACTCTCTGCGCAGCCAGGGAAGATGATTTCTAGATTGATCAGAGGCTCAGTTTCACTTGGGGTCATTTAAGCCCTGCCTTTCAGGCTGAAAATGAGGTCGAAAGCTCCTGGCATCCAGTGTGTCGGGCTTGCAGGCATCCTGGGCTGCTTCGCGGTCGTTTGCCATGCTCTGCTTCCATCTTCTCCCTGTGGCAGCTCTTCCCGCCAAGGGCATCTGTGAAATGTCCATTGGATGGAGAGTTTCAACTGGGCGTTCCCCCTCCAACTTCTTACTCCCTCTCTTCTCTCAAAGCTTTTAAGCATGGAAGCCTCTGCCCTTTCTCCCTCTAACGTGGATGGTGTGTCTGCGTGTTTGGGGGACACCTCTGTGGGGGGGCGGTTGGTTGTATGCCTGTGAGCACTAGAAGAGTGACTACATCTGTGCTAGTACTGAGTGGGTGTGGGTGAGTCTGGGTGGGTGACTGGTGACGTCTCTCTGGCCGGTTGTCTTGGGGACCCTGGGCGTGAACCTGGGCAGTGGATGCAGACCCTTTCGGGGTGCAGGTCAAGGAACGTGGCATGTGAGTGTTCCTTGTCTGGCTCGCACGTCTCAGGAGACGTGACTCTCGTAAAGCCCCCGGACTTTTCCCATTAACTTGTTTGACACTGTTCCCACAGAAGAATATTATCAGAATGTAGTCATTTCTTTCTTTCTTTCTTTTTTTTTTTCCTGTTTTGGGCCATGCCCTGCCATGCTCAGGACTTGCTCCTGGCTTTGTGCTCAGGAACTTCTATCGGGGCTCCAGGGACCATCTGGAGTGCTGGAAGCTCAGGCCAGCTGTGTGCAGGGCGAACTGCCTGTCTGCGTTCCGTGGCTTGGCCCGGGAATGTAGTGATTCCTTAGGGGCGTTTCACCCTTTCATTCCATGGGGCTCACTGGTAGCTCTCCTTAGGTCCTTCTTTCTTCCCCTAGCGGTAGCAAAAGTAGAATTTCACTTTGGGGTTAAGAGTTTTGCTGGGGGTGGAGGATGAAAACATTGACTTAGATGTGTTCTGGAATGAGTGGGAAAATCTTGTCCATCTCACGGAGGGCATTGTAGTTATTAAAGGTACAGAATTATATTAAAGAGAGTAAGCGTGGTCAGACTCAAAGTTTTGGGATGCAAAAGCTCTAAAGCCCATGTTTAATTACAGGCTATCCACCTTTCTGTTCTGAGACTCCTCAAGAGACATATAAGAAGGTGATGAACTGGAAAGAAACCTTGACTTTTCCTCCAGAAGTTCCTATCTCTGAAAAAGCTAAGGATCTAATTTTGAGGTATCAGTCAGTCAAAAAACATTTTTTTTTGGTTCCCTGTTCAGCTCTTTTTTGACATGGGTGAATCCATTTTTATAAGCCTTGCATGCTTTTTAGGATCTTTCCCCCTTTTTCACCCATTCTACTTTTTTTTTAAAAGGTGGGGGTAGATTTTTCTTTTCTGTTCTTGGGGCTGTGCTATCACTGAGCGGGTAGGGCGTTTGCCTTGCACACAGCTTACCCAGGTTTGATTCCTCCATCCCTCTCGGAGAGCCCGGCAAGCTACCGAGAGTATCCCACCCACACGGCAGAGCCTGGCAAGCTCCCCGTGACGTATTCCATATGCCAGACACAGTAACAAGTCTCACGATGGAGACATTACTGGTGCCCGCTCAAGCAAATTGATGAACAACGGGAGGACAGTACTACAGTGCTGCTACAGTTTTGGGGGCTTATTTTTTGTTTGGGGGCCATACCTGGCAGTGCTTTGAGCTTACTCCTGGCTCTGTGCTCAGGGACAACTCCTGGCAGGAATGGAGGGGGCCATATAGAGGTCAGATCAAACTGGGTCGGCCGCATGCAAGGCAAGGAAGTACCTGATCTGCTGTGCTGGTTCTCCAGCCCCATCCTTTGATTTGTTTGGGCTACATCCAGCCGTGCACGGGGCTTAATCCTGGCTCTGAGCTTAAACATTACTCTTGGTGGGTTTGGGGGAACCATCTGGGGTGCCGGGATTGAACCTGGGTTGGCTGCATGCAAGGCAAACACCCTACCACCATCTCTTTGGCCCCCTCTATTTTTCTTTAGTGAATACTTGAGGGTGCCCAAAGTCCTCTGTCTTTTCCAGATTCTGCTGTGAATGGGAACATAGAATTGGAGCTCCTGGCGTTGAAGAAATCAAAAGTAACCCTTTCTTTGAAGGCGTTGACTGGGAACACATCAGGTATATAAATGCTTTCAAGATTATCGGAAAATTCGTAGTTTTAATACTGATTTGGAAGCAACATCGTCGGCAAACTAAGAGAGATTCTTAGAATTCGTGGTTGTTTCCCGTTTCTCGTTCTGACGAAGACTGGCAGGGGCTTTTTCTTTTTCTTTTCTTTTTTTTTCTTTTCCTTTTTTTTTTGGTGTGTGTGGTTCAAGAATTTTTTTTTTTTAATTGAATCACCGAGAGAAGATCAGGGGCTTTTTCTTAGGCATGTCGGCATGTCCTGTGCCGCAGGAGACAGTGGGGGCAGCAGTGAGGTGATTCGGTGCAGTGAGCGCAGGGTGCCTGTGAGGGTCACTGTCCCGAGAACTGCGCTTCTTCACTCCTGCCTAGGACACATCAACCTTGGCCGGAGGCCACCAGCAGGACCTGCCTGGACACAAAAGGGATGTTCTGGGGTGGTGGGGGTGGGTGCACAGAGAAGGGAGAAGAGAGGAGAGGAAGGCTGACTGGATAATGGTTTGGATTTTGTCTCTTGTGTCTTGAGTAACCCCTTTCTGTGGCTTTGTTGTCCTCCCTACTGTTGGCACCTCTGGTAAAAGAAGGCAGAGCACTGTAAGAGAAGCACTTGGAGTTCTCCATCCCTTTTTATCAGACTGGGGAGAGATTTAACTGTGGATTTTAATCTATGCTATGATTTTTGTCTCGCTGTGAATCATTTTTATTAATTTTCATCCTAAGTTTGAGTGTAGTTGTTTGGCTGCTGTGTCAGTGGTTAGAAGTTTTTTTTGAGAGCATAAGTGGTTCCTGTGAGTGATGTCTGTCTGTCGGACCAGGGCTATTTTTTCTTTTCTTTTCTTTTCTTTTCTTTTCTTTTCCTTTCTTTTTTGAGGCAGATTTTTCTTGTTCTGACTCATGAGCACTAATTTTTGGCATGTGTATCATTGGCAGAGAGAGACCTGCTGCAATATCTATTGAAATCAAAAGTATTGATGATACCTCAAACTTCGATGAGTTTCCAGAATCCGATATTCTTAAGCCAACAGGTAATATTTCCAGCACTGCCTTTTGCCGTGTCACTCCTCCAGGCCCCTCACCCTCCAGTCTTGAGGTGATATTTGCAGGTCAGGGTAGAGAATACTGTTGGAGATTGACTGTTGTATATACGTTTTTCTAAGTATTTTTCCTGTATTTCTAAGTATTTTATGGTGGTAGCAGTGAAACCTTACCAAGTGTTAAGTAGGGATACAAACGTTCGTGTTTTGTTTGTTTGTTTGCATTTTGGGTCACACCCGGCGATGCACAGGGGTCACTCCTGGCTCTGCACTCAGGAATTACCCCTGGCGGTGCTCAGGGGACCATATGGGATGCTGGGAATCAGCCCCAAACCTTCCTGTTTAGACCGGTCCATTGTATAAATCACACAAGTGTGTTCTTTCGTTGATGTTTATTACCTGAAGTGACAGAACAGAAAGTTAAAAATAGTGATCAGAAAATACAAGATCAGGGGCTGGAGCGATAGCACAGCGGGTAGGGCGTTTGCCTTGCACGCAGCCAAACCGGGTTCGATTCCCAGCATCCCATATGGTCCCCCGAGCACCGCCAGGAGTCATTCCTGAGTGCAGAGCCAGGAGTAACCCCTGAGCATCGCCGGGTGTGACCCAGAAAAAAGCAAAAAAAAAAAAAAAAAACAAGATCAACAGTCAAGCGAATGTCAAGCTTTGTACAAAGTGCAAAGCAGCATCCCCAGCCCCTTGGAGTGCCGGGTTCTTCCACAGCGCCCAGGGGCCAGGCTGCAGCAGCTCTCCTTTGTTTCTTTCCAGTGGCAACAAGTAACCACCCCGAGACCGACTACAAGAACAAAGACTGGGTCTTCATCAACTACACGTACAAGCGCTTTGAGGGCCTGACTGCCCGGGGAGCAATCCCTTCCTACATGAAAGCAGCCAAATAATGCCTGCGAAGTGGAACCCCAAGCGGAGGAGAGCGTTTGGTGCAACCTCACCTGAGGGTTTTCCTCTCACGTGCTCTTTCGAAAGAGCGTCCAAGAAGTTTATGGAAACCACGAGTATGTTATGGTCAAGTCTCCTGAAACTCGATAGTAGGTGGATTCTCCTCCATACGTATCTGAAAACCTCTAAAACAGAGACAGCTGTTTTTACCACATCAGCCATAGACTTCTGCTTCTTTAGAAGTGTCATGAGCCAATTGGGTAGATCCCTGAGAAAACTTGTTTTCCTGAGTTCATCAGAACGAAGGGGGAAAAGCAGCCATCATCCAAACATTCTTGAGATCAACATGTACTCATCAGACACAGCCAATTCTTGTGATAGTGTGACATGCTTTCTGCCAAGCCCACCAAGTATTCCTGTTTTTTTCTTTACGGCTAAAAGTTCCATAGTACTAAAGAAATAAAGCAATAACGAAAGCCTGGGCAGCCAGCATTCTGGCTGAAGCAAACAGTCCACCATCCCCTGAGGGGGTCCTGATGGTAGTTTTCCTCATACCTCGGCCTGGGGCGAGTGGCTTCTTCGAGCCTCCTCCACCATGGTGCACTTTATTTATGGTACTAGGATGAAGACCCTCAGTCCTCTGGCTTCTCTTCCCCTCCCTACCCACTGCAAGTCCTCCTGCTGCTTCTCTGGGTCAGGAGGGAAGGAGGTTACAAACTTGATCTGCTGTTGCTCTCAGAAGACCCACAGCCATTGGGCATCGCCACAGCGCCCCAGAACTGGTGAAACACCCTCGCTTTTTGTCATGGCTGTACCAGAAAATCCCTAAGACAGACGTCACGGTGAACCAGCAATGGCCACGTGTGCCGCCACAGGAACTCTGCTCATTCCTGGCACCTCGTGGTCAAGGTGCTCCTCCCGCAAGGCCTCTAGGACTCCCTCGGACGGGGGACAGGACCAGGCCACCACAAAGTGCAGCTTATTCTCAGCGCTTGGAGCCGCTGTGTGTGTCTCCTCTCTCAGTGTTTATCTTTTCCCTGCTACTTTAATTAACCATCTTGCCTTGGAATCTCGATTACAGTTTTCCTTTGCAGATGCCTCTCTGGAGGGTGCTCTCTCCCCTACAGGGTTACCTGCGGCAGGGCTGCCAGGCCTCTGCTCTGCTGCTTGCGCCTGAGAGGCCCCCGACATTAGCACAAAGTGCCTTCTCATACTGCCACCGCCTTTTGAGGAATTTTGCGACGTCAGAAAGATGTGGAGGCTCCATTTTAATGCATTATTGCTTTTGAAAATTTTGAGGATTCTGAATGCATCATTTGCACCTGTGTGATAACTTTGCCTGTCATAGAACGCCAGAAGTCAGAGATTGATTTCTGCCAGTGTCGAGATGGTTAAGATCTTCCTTAGAAAGGGGAAAATGGCCTAGCTTAGCCATTCAGAAAAGAAAAATGGAGTATCAGAGTTACATTTTGCAAGTGAAACTGCTTTGGGTTTTATAGTGTCTTAGAAAAAAAAAAGACTGTTAGCAAAGTCTGAGCGCTGAATGAAGGTGACCTGTTTGCCCCTTAGTCTTTCATTCAGAGTCTGTTAGTGAGAAAGAAGCAATTAAGATTCTTTTATGTAACTTGCAGTTTATTTGTATTACCAAATACTTGGGGTCTTGACCCCCACTTGTTTTGCAAGACTGAGTGAGCGTGGTGAAGTGTGATGGTGAGTCTGTGTTGGGGAATGGCCGGGATGATTAGTTTTAGGGGGAAATGCCTGCATTTTTAACTTCGAAACTTCTGAATAAACTGTGTGAAAATACAAGTGTGAATCTGATGTGTTTTAAAGCTGACATGGGCTGTAATTGGAAACTGCGGTGCTGGTGACTTCTCAACCCTTTGCCTGCAAACCAATGGAACATTACTTGGCTGTCTTTATTCAAAGGATGTTTCTTTTCTTCTTTTTTTTTAATTAGTGAAACACCTTGAGGTACAGTTGGCTTTTCTTCTTCTTAAGCAAGATAGTTCATCACATCTTTCTAAGTGAAACTTAGATGTGAGTAGAAAGACAGGAAATAGGTGTTCAAGAGAGAACATGGACTTCTCCAAAGTGAAAAGAGCAAATGGGGCTGGAGCGATAGTACATAGGGCATTTGCCTGGCACGTAGCCCACCAGGGTTCAGTTCCCAGCATCCCATATGATAGCCCAAGCACTGCCAGGAGTAACCCCTGAGCATTGCCCGGTGTGACCCTGCCCCCCAAAAATAAGCAAACGAGATACATGTTCAAGGGAGAACAGGGGCAGGAAGAGCAAGCCTCAAAGTTATGTTTCTTCTTGCCTCATGGAATTGGGGACCAGCTTCATGCTTCTCTGCTCTACGCCAGTAACACAGACCATGTTACATGCCCTGGTTCAAGGTGCAAGGGAGACCTAATGAGACAGCTGGCTGACCCCTGATGGTCCCTCTGGGAAGCTTAGTATGGCCTCATTTTTTCCAGCTTGGGGAAAAAGTCAATCCTAAGTCTCAAGTTTGTAAAGGATGGATCGAGACTGAGTCCTTGCTATCTCTGGATTAGACGTCTATCTCCAGATGTTTTGTGTATTTGAGTCCTGCTGTGTTATATTTCTTTTTCCTGCTTTAGAGCAGGGAAAGAAGCCTCAGGACACAAAAGGCATAGGAATTCCAGGCAGAGAACATGCAGCCAGAGAGTATTTCTGTCCACGGCACTTGATTTCCAAGAAATATGTTGGAAGCCTTGGTATAATATCGGACCTCAATAATTCTTACCATCGATAACTGTTTCCAGCTCTCCTACCAGGTTGAAACAATACTGATGCCTTTCAGCCTCTTGTTTTCTGGAGGGGCGTACCTGGCAGTGCTCAGGGATTGTGTGAGGGATTGATTGATCTGGGTAAGTGCTTTCCCCATGAGGCTCCTCAGCTTGGGTCTGGGAGTTTGGATGCTGGTGGGGATGGCCCTGGGCTGTGGTGGTCTCATAGCACTGTTATTGTTACTTTGGAAAGAACGTTCTCCAGTCACTCTTGTTACTTTATCATTTTCTCCCTTTGTTCCTTGTATTATCTGTGGATGAAATATGCTGGTGTTATCCCCTTCCTCCCAGACCACCGGTGTCCTGAAGTGCCATATCCATTGAATTTTCTTCTCCTCTTGGTCAACCTGCAGCATTCATACTGTAGACTGGAAAAAACATTTGCTCCCACCTGACTTCCACCACCGAACTGCTGTTGCCCCTCAGCTCAAGATCTTGCAGATCTGAAGGCTCCTATAGGCTTAAATTAAACTTGTCCAAATAGAGCTTTTTTTGCTTCCATAACTTTTATTGGGGGGATTGGAGTGGGGTTTGGGCCACACCCAGAAGTATTCAGGGATCACTCGGGTGGGACTGGGGAAGCAAGCGATGGTGGGGATTGAATCCTGGCTGACCATGGCAGGGTGAACGCTGTACCTGTCCATTCTCTTGCCCCTTCCATAGCATTTCTGTATGGCAGTTTATGCAGGAACCTCCTAGACTGTGGTCTGCAGATATGCACAGCCCTAGGGTGCGGTTGTGCATCCTCTCGTCCTTTTGCCAACGGAGGTTCCAGTGGGTGGCTTATTTAAAATAGAGAGGTGATAGTCTCAAAAAAGGAAATCTGCTTTCTACACACCTGTCACCCTGGAATCATCTAAGGACATCTAAGACTAAGTCTGGGATGGAGCTGCTGGACGGTACAGACCCACATTCACCAGCCTCGGGAGGCAGCCAGCAAACCACACCTGCAGTCCACTAGTTCTGCCTGATGTGGAGATGAGCCCTGCCATCCAGTTTCTGAGAGAGCCATAGACTCTCCTTGCAGAAAAGTCAGAAGAGAACCCAAGCTGCCCGCCATGGGGCTTTGTACCAAGGTAAGAGTCCAAGAGTCCATTCCTATGGTCTTGTCAAGGAGAAAAGTTAGAAACTTCTGAGGGCCTGTCTCCCAGGTCCTTTATCACAACCTGTTTCTGCTGGAGCTTCTCAGAGGGGATCCAGCTTTCTCTGGGTCTGGGCCTGATCACATCTCAGTTTCCTGGCTACAAAGTGGGTCTGGCAATAATGCTTTCAGCAGCCCTAGGGGTGAACTCGTTCCCAGCAGCCCGCCTACTGTAATTCCCACCAAGTTCATTTTTGGAGAATGGGTGATTTAGCTTCCCCTTTACAAGTCTTTCATCTCTTACCGCCCTCCTCCCATCCCCAAAGAAACTCCCTTGCATTTTACATCGGATCATATCATTCTGCATTGTCTTTAAAAAACTTTCAGCAGTTCATGAGCCCAAGTATCTCCAAGAATCCTTTTTCTGCTTTCATCTCTGTTGAGTTTTGCTTTTTTCAGCTGACTTGGTCCATATTCATCGGTCAAAAACTCTTGTCCTTCACAATTTGATTCGTGTCACTTCTAGAATCCTCTGCGAACTTTCAGAGTGAAAAACTGGCTACTCTTTTGGGGCTTGCAGAATAACCTGGGTTGCTTTACAGATCAATCTTTGTGCAATTAAAAGCTGAGAGGGACCAGGAAGATACAACAGTGAGTAGAGCACTTGGTTTGCACACAGTCACCCCAGGTTTGATCACCGGTATCCCATAGACCCCCAAGCTTTGCCAGGAATGATCCCTGAGCACTGCCAGGTGTGGCCCCTAAACTGTCCTAGTAACCTTGTGGCACTGAATATTGTTAGTGGTCCATTGCTCCAGACGTGCTTTTAACCACTCTGCTGAGAAAGCCTAGGAGGTACAGGCTTGAAACGTTACCACTAAGCAAGTGCCTTGGCAAAGTAAAGCTGAAGGGGCCTCAGAAACCTATGAGAGGACTAAGTCAAGGTGGGGCAAGGAAGCAGTTTACAATAGCTAGAATCTGGGAAAAACCTGAGTGCCCGAGAACAGATGACTGGCTAAAGAAACTTTGGTACATCTACACAATGGAGTACTATGTAGCTGTTAGAAAGGATGAAGTCATGAAATTTACATACAAGTGGTTCTACATGGAAAGCATCATGCTAAGTGAAATGAGTCAGAAAGAGAGGGACACACATAGAAAGATTGCATTCATCTGGGGAACATAAAGTAATAAAATAGGAGACTAACACCCAAGAATGGCTGAGATAAGTACCAGGAGGTTTACTCCATGGCTTGGAGGCCAGCTGCACGTGCTAAGGGAAAAGGCAGCTCAGTTAGAGAAGGGAGCACCAAATAAAGGGTGTTAGGAAGATCCGTCCAGGACGGGAGATGCATGCTGAAAGTAGACTATAGATGGAACATGATTGCCACTCAATTCCTCTTTTGCAAACCAAGCACCCAAAAGGAGAGAGAGAACAAAAGGGAATGCCCTGCCACTGAGGCAAGGTGGGAAGGATACTGGGATCCGTGGTGGTGGAGAATGGGCACTGGTGGAGGGATGGGTACTCGATCACTGTGTAACTAAAACCCAAGCACAAAAATTTGTAAGTCTACACCTGTACCTCATGGAGTTTCACTAATAAAAATTTTTAAAAAAAGATGGGGCAAGGAGCCCCACCTGCCTTTCACCCTTTAAAACCTGCCTTTCATTCCCGCCTTGGCTCCTCATTTCTTTAAATCAAAGCCACAGGTTTGTGAGTCAGCTGACCTTTGTAATTTGCATTTGCTTTGTGAGGTCTTCTATCTGAGGGCCCAGGGGAGTGCAAGTAAAGTGCGGGGCACTGATTAATAGGGCTCTGAGTGGGCGTCAGTAATAGCAGGATGTGGTCCAGCACAGGAAGAGGTTCTGCTCAGGCATCAGGGGCACCACTCCCTTCAATTTTTTCAACCTTGTTTTCACGTTATTTTTCTAGAAAAATCAAAACAAAACATGGACACACAAACGGTAGTATTTTATTTTAGAAAAGGCATCCCAAATAGAGAATTTCGTAAACACTGGTAGGTGAGCATGTGCAATAAAAACACGAAGTAAAAAGGCAAAACTTAGAAGCATTTTGCCTTAGAGGAAACAATCTTCTGCCGCGGTACTCCTGCCCGGAGAATGAAATGTGGCTCCATCGCTCCATGCAGGTATCAGGTTTGCTGCTGGAACCCACTGTGCCCATTTTAACAATTTTAAAACGATGGCAAGAAGTGGCATTGAGTAAATTATTGAACCCCAATTCTTAACTTCTGTTGACAACTGATTAAGTAAGGCGCCACATTATTCTTTTTGACAGTTTGAGTTTTTAAAAGTCTGTGTTGATTGTTTTTACTGACAGAGGGACCCAAGGCAACACTATTTGCAAATAAAGTATCTGTCCCGGGCTTACTCCACAGTATTTTCATAGACCATCATTAGATATCACACCATGTTCTTGAAATTGAGTTTAATGTCAGCCTGCTGTATACTGTTCAGTAAACCAGCTTAGAATCCCTACCCTTTTACCTGTTTCCTTCCTTTTGGAAAAAACTTTAATCAGTCGACATACTCTAACTGTCTCAGCCCACTCCAGATTTTCAGTGGCAAATGTTTCTGAATCAACTCTACATGGTGTGATGCATGAACAAACTCAGGTTCATCTTTGCTTGCTGAAAGGCCTCTTAGTAAGACATTCTATGTAAATCATTTTTTTTATGAAAATACTTCTTATAAACAGTCTGGCTTATTTAGGCACTTAAAAAAAAACACCAAAACTTAGTTCCACCTTTTCAAATAGGAACACCCCAGACCCTGTTAACTGAAGGGAACTGCAGCTCCTCTTGCTCTTGTCCCTGTGGGGACAGAGAGGTTTGCCCCTATGGAATGTTCAGGCCCTGGAAACAACAGCTGGAGGGGAGCCATCAAATGACAGTGATACTGAGCTCAGATGGGGAGGCGGTTGGGTGCAAAAGAAACCTTTGAGCCCCCCTCTTCTCTCAGTCATCAGTACCTGGCAACTTCCCCTCTACAGCTTTCTAGTTCACTCGCATCCTATAGGTTGGAGCTCAAAGCACACCAGCTCAATCTGTCTATGTTAGGTGGGACACTGGAGCACTATGCGGATGACCTAGTTTTGAGAGCCCAAAGAAATGAATTTACACAGCATAGTACAAGTTCATGCCATAATTCCTTATCTGGATTTTTACTTTTTTTAAAGGACTGATCAGTGTGTTACTGATGACTTGTTTACACTTACTTAGTAGTACATAAATTATATTAACACATATTACACAGTCCATTCAAGCTTCCTGGGTGGTGGCATGAAAATAGAAAGTATAAAGAAAGCACCAAACAGTTATTTGGGATGGCCAGCTACCGGTGGACAAGGTCAAAGCCAAATCTATTATAGGTTTCACATATCACTGTATCACTGTCATCCCGTTGTTCCTCGATTTACTCGAGCGGTTGCCAGTAACGTCTCTATTCCTCCCAGCCTGAGATTTTAGCAGCCTCTCCTTACTCATCTTTCCCAAGGATTGGAGGCTCTTTCAGGGTCAGGGGAATGAGACCTGTTATTGTTACTGTTCTTGGCATATCGAATATGCCATGGGGAGCTTGCCAGGCTCTGCCCATGCAGGCAGGATACTCTGGATAGCTTGCCAGGCTCTCCAAGAGGTAATATATTTATAAATATATATATATATATATTTCTCTATGGTTTTGTTGCCTACTGTCTGAACCCCATCAAATATGGTGTGGTAATTATGGAAAATGGGTAGGACGTGTCTAATGTGTCATGCGGCCGCAAAGCAACCACACGGTCCAGAAAGTGGCCTGGAGTGTGGTGGCAGTTGGATAGTGGAGGTCAGCTGCCAGGGCTGGATCCTTTGGGGCATGGAAGGCTCTCATCCACCCCTCTCTGGGGCGCCCAAGTGAGAACAACCTGGCCTGGAGTCCACACGGAGTCTGTTCCCCCTGACTCCTTGGTAGTCTGCTAGTGGGAGACCCTCGACTCTGATCCTTCGCTTTCTCCTGTCCCCGAACCCGGCAAGTCCTCATCATGCGTGAGTGCATCTCCATCCACGTTGGCCAGGCTGGTGTCCAGATTGGCAACGCCTGCTGGGAGCTCTTCTGCCTGGAACACAGCATCCAGCCCAATGGTCAGATGCCCAGTGACAAGACCATTGGGGGAGGAGACGACTCCTTCAACACCTTCTTCAGTGAAACAGGCACCGGTAAACATGTGCCCAGGCAGTGTTTGTAGACTCAGAGTCCACAGTCATTGATGAAATTCACACTGGCACCTACCACCAGCTCTTCCACCCTGAGCAGCTCATCACATTAAAAAACAAAAATTCCAAAACCCACTGGCTACAGAGAATGATCCTAATCTTAAATCTTAAACCCTGGCCATCAGCCTTGCAAAAGTGCCAGTGGTAATCAGAATTTTAAGTGGAGGTGACTCACTTTAACCCCTTAAACGCTTTTCTGAGTAAGGAATATTGTAGGCAAATGCAAAGAACACTCTTCAAAGCCAGGAGAACAGTTCATCTGACTTTTGAAAGTTTTGAAAGTTTTTTTCAAAGTTTTGAAAGTTTTGACTTTTGAAAGTTTTGAAAGTTTGAAAGTTTGGAAGTTTGGAAGGCTAACTTTCACATTGGGAGACGTTCTCAAGACATACACTTACAGTTCTAGACTCTAAGGTCTACTGTTACCAGCCATGGAAACACCAAGGGAAGGTAGTTCATTACCAAGGGGGTGGGGGTGGGAGCAGGGCTTGGGACTTGTCATATAGCATGTATTACTAACAGCTGACATCAGATTACTAGGCCCCAAGTCCCTTTAGCTCATTCATCCTTTGAGGATGACAATAGTAATTCTTAGCCAGTGGGTGAGCAGTGGACTAGTTTAAAAACTAAAGTGTCCTGGTACTTCAAACTCCATAGTATGAAAAAAACTGCACCAGTATAAAGCCAGGCTAGGTGACGTTTCTCTTCCAGTTTCACTCCCAAATGCTTCCCTCGTTCCCTTACAACTTTCTATTGAAAAACTCAGCATGTGTGAGAAATTTCCAGCCAGATCTTAAAAGCCTGTATGTTCTCTGTCCTAAAGATCTCCAAACCACAACAACGAGCAGTGTGCTGTGCTGGAGAGTAGACCTGTGACTTCATACCAGAGTACAAGCCAAGATAGCAAAGTAGCCTTATCTGAGAGGCTCTTTCATTCCAAACAGTCTGTTTGGGCTGAAAAACAAATTAAATATTAAATTTCCTAAACACTGTTACACTATTATCCATCCTGTCAAAGAATCTATGGCTTTGGATTGTTCATTGCATAATAAGAAACAAAACCAAATATAAGCTGTTAAAAGTTTCCTCTTGGACACATCGAATGAGGCCTGGTTCTATCCAGACGCCATCTCAATGCAGAGGCATTTTCTTTAATACCTAGTGAACATCCTGCTTGTAGAGCTAGAGATTGTCTCCTTTTGTTTGGTCCCTTTGCTGCTAAGTCATTTGCCTGGTATAAAACAAAACACAACAAAACCCAAGGACAGAGTTTCAAGAGTGAGGACAGCTCTGCTGAGTATGAGGCAAGAGGAGTCTTGACTTCCTTTCCTGCTTCGGTAGTTTTGTAGACTAAACAGCACCAACCCCCCAATTTCAAGCTGGTGCAAAGCTGGTAGTTCCGTTACCAGTGAGTGCTTTTCCACCCCTGCAGCAGAGGCACAGACTTCCTGGAAAGGACACACATTAATTATGGGAGAAAGGGAAAGGATGGGGAGACAAACCAGGGTGAGGCTCAGCTCTGAGCATCCCAGACAGAGAAAAGCTCCGAAGAAGGGTGGACCCACAGTTGGCCCTACTCCTGAAAGTCATTAGAAGCCATCTGAGAGAGCGGGGCATTCAATCGGTCCAGTTCATCCACCTGTGGTGGGTGGTGCATTAGTATCTCCTGGTCTTCCAAGACATCCTCCCCAGCAGCCACCAGATTAGTGAGTGATTTGCTCCGAACACACTGGAAATCCACATGACGACTCTTCCCTTCTTCCTTTTCCCATGACATCTGGATAAAGGGGCGCTGCACATAGTTATAGATCACTTCAGATCGGCCACCAGGTCGCCTCTTGATTTTTTCTTTACACGTAGGGTAACCTGAAACAGGAAAAGGCCATTCTCAGGACTCCAGCAAATTGCTCACTGTCTTCGGTGCCGTTTCCTTTCTAACCACATACATTTCCTCCCAAATCCAAGGACAATATAGGAAAACCACAGGAGATGTGTCCAGTCTCTGACCAGGCCCTCCCAATGCTGATGACCAACAGGCTGTTTTCACTCCAGCTCAGGTTAGTAGTTCTTGTCCCTAGAAGTAAGGTAAAGGTAAAGGCCCTCCCGTTGATCGTCGATTTGCTCGAGCGGGCCCAGTAACGTCTCCATTGGAGACTTTGTTGTTACTGTGTCTGGCATATCTAATACTCTCGGTAGCTTGCCGGGCTCTCCGAGAGGGGCGGAGGAATCGAACTCGGGTCGACCATGTTGGCCGCTTGTAAGGTGAACGCCCTACCCGCTGTGCTATCGCTCCAGCCACTAGAAGTAAATTAACAAAAATTCTATCCCTTCTAATGGAGGGAGAAAAGCCTTGTTCGTTTCTCAATCTTCAGTTACTGGTAGCAACACTGCAGGAAAACCCTGGCTTCTCCAGCCCTCTGATTCTACTTGGAGAGGCTGACTGTCACCAGAAAGTAGTTAAGAAAATGTGCAGTGTTTAGCAGAAAACTATAAAGTGGTGCAGACTAAGGTATTTGAATGGCTCAAAGCAGCTTCTAAGGAGAACAGAAGGGGGAGTCAATTATCCCAGCTACAAAGAAAACTGTTCTAATGTAAAGCAGTGTGATGTGCTGCCCTGGGAAAGGGATGGGTCTCTAGCATCCTGTTCCTGCAGTTTCAGAGACAAGAGGGAACACAGTAGAAATTCAGTAGTTATCTCAAAAATTGCCTCCAATACCAAGTCAGACTCTGTGAAGGTCTAGTATGTTCGCTGGGTATGAGTGAATCACTGTCACTGTCCTCCCATTGTTCACTGATATACACGAGCGGGCCCAGTAATGTCTCCATTGTGAGACTTGTTGCTACTGTGTTTGACATATCGAATACGTCACGGGTAGCTTGCCAGGCTTTGCTGTGAGGGCGAGAGTGAATACAGCACACAAATCAAAGACTGTTGGAAAGAGACCAGGTTGGCGTCAGCACCTCCCAAGAAAAGTCAGTCTCTGAGACCAATCTTTGGAGACCACTGCTCTGTGGTCATTTTAAAAATCACTGAGTCATGACTCCAGGGCGCTCTGAGAGATTGTACAAGGCTTATGGTGCTTGTCTTACATGCAGCCAACACGGATTCCATTCCCAGCACTGCACATGATCCCCCAAGCACTGCCAGGAAAGAACCCTGAGCACCAGGAGTCAGTCCTGAGCACCGCTGTGTGTGGTCCAAGATTGGGGGGGGGGAGGTCACTGCTCAAGGTTCAGCCAATAAAGGTAGTTAGTGAAATACTCTTACATCTTGAGCCCAATTCCAGAAAGATCCTAAAGCTTCTGAAGAGCAGCCTCCCACTCAGTGAGCCCACAAGCTGACTCCCATCCATCAGCACCCTTTACCCTCACACTAAACTGGAGTTAATCCTGGAGCTGTCTGAAGGCATTTTCAACTGGGAATCAAATGAAAAGAAATGTAAGGAAAAATTTAAAAAACATACACCTCTAACTTGTCAGGAATGTAGTTTTCAAGTAGGCGTGCTAGTTCTCTGGATCCCAAGGTTTTATGGGGATGGGGACGGGTAGAAAGGGAGAGTAGGGGCTTCCCAAGTGGTGCTCAGGAGGCTTAGGGGTGACTCAACCGGTTCCTGGCCAACCGGGCTGGCAGGTTAGGATCAGAGAATGCTGCCCTGCTCAGGCCCTGCTATACTGGGGATCACCATGGTCCCCCCAGCAATGCTATGGGAGGGGGTGGGGCATCTGGGGCAGGCACAGACCACAAGTTTCCTAGTGACTGCACACTCATTACCTTCAATTCCAATGCGAATGTTTTTGAGGCCCCGTTCCTTTAGCACTGTTTTAGCGACATCTCGGTTTTCAATGTACTTGAAGAATCTGTAGAGCTTTGAGCTATAAAGAACTGAAACAAAATGAATAAGAACAAAAGCCTGCAGTTAGTCCTGTAGTAAAGGCTTCTGTAAAAGGGAGGAGCTAACAATCATGGGCCAATGGGTATTCTTGAGCCCTGTCTCCAAAATTACCAGACGGGTACAGAGAGAATGTGAACTAATAAATCAGTCATAAAGAAACCAGCTGAGATGATTTTAGTTTCAGGGTGGGACAGACCTTTCTGGCTGTGAGATAAAAGAAAAACTGATAGCACTGACCACATAGAAATACAGTACTTACGGAGCTGCAGTGACAGTACAGTGGGTAGGGTCAAATGACTGACCTGGGTTTGATCCCCAGCATCTCATATGGTCCCCTGAGCCTGCCAGGAGTGAACCCTGAGCATAGGCAGGTGTGGCCTCCCCCAAAAGCAAAAATACAGTGCCCTGGGACTGGATAGTACAGTAGGTAGGGTGCTTTTGATGTGCATGTGACCAGTTTTCATCTGTGACACAATGAACACTGTGCACCACCAGGAGTAAGCCCTGCGCACAGCTAGGTGTGGTTGGAAAAAAAGAAAATGATAATACAGCTCCTGTACATAGCCAATATCACCACCAACAAACTCAAAGCGGGTCAGGGTGCCGGGACTGGAGAGACAGCTCAACAGACTGAGTGCATGCTTTGCATGCAAGAGGCCTCAGGGTTAGAACCCTGGCAGTGTATGGTCTCCCAGCACTGCCAGGAACAATCCCCAGGCACCACTGTGTGTGGCCACAAAACAAGAACTAAACAAACATAATCAACTGGCAAAAACATTTGCAACTGTATTATAAAGCACAAACTTTTCTTAATAAAGTGGTCACAAATGATCAAGTAAATAGGCAACACAACTGTGTAATGGGAAAAGGCAGGATAGAGTTAACAGAACAGTAAATTAAAACGGAGTTAGAAAATTTATTCAACCTCACATGAAAAAAATGCAAAGTAAAACTCAAATGAACTGTTTTTCACTGACCAGAATGGTTAAAAGTCCAACAGTCTTGTGAGGGAACAAGAAAGCCGTCCTACTGTTTCATGAATGAAAACGGAAGGCCTTATAGAAAGATAACTTATATACCAAAAGCGCAATCATTTTTGCCATAGGAATTCCATCTCTAGTAACAGTATTCTTCAGAGACAGATGTGTGTGAAAAGCCTGTTTCACTGACATTATTTGTTAAGTGCGAATTTGGGTGCTGTGACCTTAAGTGCCCATGAGCCAGGATGGCTAAATCCACATGATGATGATCATGTAATGGACTACTGTAAAGCAATGAAAGTGAGGCTTCTGATGTAAGGGGTAATACAGAACAGCCTGTGTAACAGGGTACCATTTATAAAAAAGAAAAAGAGTATGCAGTTGCACCGAGAAGGATATAAAAGCAGCTGAGAAGGAAAACTGAAGCAGCAGAAGTGGAAACTTTCCAATTATCTTGTGCACTTTCTGAATTTTGAATCACTAGTAACTAAGAAGAATTTAAAAATGAAAGGAATGACCCCTCCCGCCCCATGCAGGGTGCTGCCTGGGGAGCGGCACAGCACCAGGTGGCAGGGGCAGCACTATCTGGGCAGTGCTAGTACCCAGCCTCAGTCAGCTGCCACAGCTGGGCCATCCTCTCCCCAAGGTGCCCACAGGCTCTCAGGCTCAGCTGCTCCTCTCGGCAGCATGTTCCTTGCGGAAAGCATCTGAGCCATACAAGGGTTTCCTACTTTGGGAATATTCTTCGCCCATGGGTGGGGGGTGGTCTTCATCCCAGTCCACAGAATCCTCATCTGTTAGCACAACGATGTGGCATTCTCGCTCCCCTTTCTTGGCACAGCCCACCATGATGGGCAGGATGAGCTCCTCGAGGTAGTGATCAAACTGCTTGTGAGCACCATCGTTTGACAGTTCATGCAGCAGAGCACCTGGGGAGAAGAGGTGCAGGTGAGCACCCTATCCATTCCCAACGCACACGGGCTGGAGAGGGAAAGCCTGAGGTAATCACGGTAGCTGTCATCATGGTCATGGACCTGAGAAAGACAGCTTCTTGTTTCAAGGCAACACTAAACAGTTCGTTAGACTTGTTGGAAATCCATCATATTATACCACCCTTCAATTTACTCATATTTAATAATGCCTGAGTATTATGATTGCAGAGTGACAGCATAGTTTGTAGGGCATTCGCCTTGCACGCGGCCGACCCAGGTTCAATTCCTCCGCCCCTCCCGAAGAGCCCTGCAAGCTACTGAGAATATTCTGCCGCACGGCTAAAGCCTCACAAGCTCCCCGTGACATATTTGATATGCTAAAAACAGTAACAGTCTCACAATGGAGACATTACAGGTGCCCGCTCAAGCAAATCGATGAACAACTGGAAACAGTGACAGTGACTATGATTAAATGATTAACATTGTAGTATGGAACAGAACTCACATCTTGAGGTGTACCCAGGGCCTGGGCGTGCAGGAGGTCCAGGCTGCTCCCTGGCATGGCACAACCCCCCGGCATCACTAGAATCAACTCTTGAACATCAAGTACAGAAGCAGCCCCAAGCACCCCGCCTCCCCAGAAGACTCCAGTTAATTTATGCTACTTGATTTTATTACTAAGCCTTCGTATCAGAAAATCAGTATCTCTTAATCTGTTAGAGCCGAGACACCAAGATCTAAGAAAGGAAGCAATTAGCTTAGTGACCCATGAGGCAAGCTCAAGTTAGAACCCATTACATGTTTTTTATTTAACTTTCTCCTAGAGCTTTGAACAAGAAAGGTTAGCAATATATCTCTGCCCTGCAGATGACTTTTAACCTTTAATAAAAATATATTAAAGAGTTAATTCTAAGCATATGCAAAGTTTAGTTGCTTAAATACAACTTGGCAACTGCTCTGTACTTACTCAGATCTTGACACCGGATAGTGTTGAAGTCAAAGTTAATGCAGAGGTAATCACATGTATCTCTGAGGTCGGGGATAGAGATGCCATCAGGACAATTGATAATACCAGTTTTATAATAGTCCTGTAAATAAATAAGAAAGAAGAAACAGATGAAACACAAAATGAAAAGCACCTCTTCAACCCCTGACGCATTGCTGGCTTTATAGCAGGAACGATCATTGGAACTATCACCACTAAGTTGATTCATTCAGTGGCGGCGTGGCTCCAGAATGACCTGATGTATTTAATGGTAATCTGACTACCCGACAGAGACCATACAAACGAGAAGGACTTTAGAGATACAGGAATAAGAAACAGAGAAAGGCAATGAAGGAAAATTATAGGGATTCCTCAGTACTTTGGTTTGATGGAACTCTCAAAGTTTTTGGCTTTGTGTGCCCCTGCCAGTAAACATATATATACTGGGACACCAAAAAAACTTCGTTACTCACTTTGCCATTTTGATTTTAGCTTTCGTATACTGATGCATGTATCACTGGTGGCCCATACTTCAATGTGGTTTAATTAAGAGGAATTGCCGTTTTGGCGGCAATGGGTTAATGCTGTGGTATGGAGCAGAACTCACAACATCCTGAGGTGTACCCAGGGCCTGGGCATGCAGGAGGTCCAAGCTGCTCCCTGGCATGGCACAGCCCCCTGGCATCACTAGAATCAACTCTTGAACATCAAGTACAGGAGCAGCCCCAAGCACCCCACCTCCCAGAAAAAGGATGTAACAAAAGGCTAATACACACCAGCACAGTTCGGAATACGGTCGCGCTGATTCCTTCAGCAATCTCATACTCTCCCTTCTCATTGGGCCTGGTGAAATTATATTCTCTTCCTGGTCCAAACATCCTGCAAGACACCCAGGCCACACTGTTACCTTCTCCAGGGTTCTGCTCTGAGATTTCCCTTCCTCACCTCATTCTGGAGGAGTCCACTCTATTCTGAGAGCATATTTTAAAATAAACACTGGGACTCAACCCCTACAAGGTAAGACTTAGGAAATTCTCTAGACAGGGAAAAGAAGGCATCAAGAATGAAGCTACAAGTCCTTACGGTTCATCTCTAGTGAGCTTCTACGACAGAAAGTGAAGGAAAAAAATCATCTGCAGCGTTGGCTTTGCTGGGAAAATCTCCAAGCGTGTGAGAGTTGTCTCTTATGCCCTTGCAACTCCCTAGGAATCTTCCTCCACATCTGCAGCTCAGGCAGACAGGTGCCTCCTGTTCTGGAGCTCTCTCTCCTGCCAGCATTAGCCAAGCCGAATCCCAATCCTCAAGAATTCTTTCGCTTTTCTTGTTTTGGTTTTGGGGCCACCCATGGCAGTCAGTGCTCAGGGTTTATTCACTCCTGCCTCCGCTCTCAGGGATCATACTTGGTGGAGCATGGGAGACCATAAATGGTGCCGGGGATCAAACTCAGGTCAGCCCTGCCCTACCCACTGTACTATCTCTACAGCCCGGAGTTTAGTTTTTCAACCTGTAATCTGATAGGTAAACCCGTGTTATTAAGCACTGATATGTTCATGTGTCTTTAAAAAAAAAAAAAAATTACGGTAGGGCTCTGAGGGCAAGTGCCCCCTTCATTCCAAGGGTTAACTCAAATAATGGTAATTTTTGGTCAAATAGAAAGAGAGTAGCTATCACATTTAGCAGCAGTTTTTTTTTGGGGGGGGTTAAAACTACTTTGGACATGAAAGCAGAAGTCACGAGTACAGAGCGGAGGGCTTGCTTTTCTTTTTCCATTTTTCCTCCCTTTTCTCAGATCTAGATCTACAGTTAAACTGGCCCCATGTTTTCTACTCTGGTAGTACTTTTGTGAGCTGCGGAATGGGAAACTGGTACAAAAAACAAGACCAGCAGCTGGTATCCTTACCTGACCTGATTTGTGTTCCCAATGGAGACTGACATTTCGTTTCCTAACCTGCTGGGAACAACTTGTATCTTTCACTCAGCACTGACTGCATTTGGAAAAGTTCTTTTTTTTAATCTTTTTCTTTTTCTTCTCTCTCCTCTCTTCTTTCTCTCTCCTCTTTCCTCCCCCCCTTCCCCCTTTCCTCCCTCCCTCCAGATGGCATCTTTCTGATGAAGCGGCATGATGTTCCAATTGTTAACACCATTCTATGACCCACGATTTTCTTTGGAACTGATAATACACTGGGTGCTTGATGACATTAGCAAATGTTTCAGCCAAATCTGAAGTTCATTCCCACCTCTGGACACTTAGTTGTGTGAACTAATAAATTTCTGTACCAATTAAGCTAAAAATCAAAACAAAACAGCAATAAGATTTGGTTTCAAAAATTCCAACAGTGATGAAAGCATTAGAAAATGACCGACTTCCTGGGCTGGGAGATGACTCCAGTGTTAGAGCATATACGTAGCATGTATGAGGCCCTAAGTGCCATCCCCGGAATCACTGGGCCTCATCCAGTGATTCCTGAGCTTGACCAGGGAGTCCAACAGCAGAGGTCCTTAGCACCCAACCATCAGATCCACACATCTTGGCCAAACAACACGAGAGTGATCCCCACAATCACTCTGGGGATGGCCTCTTTTTTTTTTTTTTTTTTTTTTTTTTTTTGCATTTTGGGTCACACCCAGCAATTCAGAATGGTTTACTCCTGGCTTAGGGCTGGAGCGATAGCACAGCGGGTAGGGCATTTGCCTTACAAGCGGCCAACATGGCCAACCCGAGTTCGATTCCTCCACCCCTCTCAGAGAGCCCGGCAAGCTACCGAGAGTATTCGATATGCCAAACACAGTAACAACAAAGTCTCCAATGGAGACGTTACTGGGCCCGCTCGAGCAAATCGACGATCAACGGGAGGGCCTTTACCTTTACCTTTACCTTTACTCCTGGTGGTGCTCAGGGCACTATATGGGATGCTGGGAATCGAAACTGGGTTGGCCACGTGCAAGGCAAATGCTCTACCCACTGTGTTATCGCTCCCGCCTCCAGCATGGCCTCTTATTAAAGGATACTACAAGATCTAATACCAAGTATAACTGGTAATAGATGTCAAGCAAAAGTATACTTTAGTAAATGGTTTTGTGCTCATTGTCATGTGGAAGTTCCTCCCTACTCCCCCTTGCTTTTTGGGCCCACACCTAGCAGTGCTTAGGGGACCATATGAGCTTCCAGGGATAAAACCCAGAACATGCATGAAAGGCAAGTGCTCTTCCAGCTGTATACTGCTCTGGCTCTGTCATATGGAAGATTTGTCTATTATTATTATTATTATTATTATTATTATTAGCTTTTTGGGTCACATCTGGCAATACTCAGGGGTTACTCCTCGCTCTGCATTTAGGAATCACTCCTGGTGGTGCTGGGGGACCATATGGGATGCTGGGGATCAAACCCAGGTAGGCTGTGTACAAGGCAAACACCCTACCCACTATACTATCGCTCTGGCCTCATGCCTAATTATTATTATTTTGGCTTTGGGGCCATGAATGGTGGTACTCAAGGCTTACTCCAGGCTCTGTAATCAGGGATCGCTCCTGGCAGGGCTTTGGGAATCAGATGGAGAGCCAGAGAACAACCCAGGTTGGCTGCATGCAAGGCAAGTGCCCTACTCACTTTCCTATTGCTTCAGCCCCATTCCTAGCTCTTTTAAAGACACGCAGACACATAAGAAACATAACCTGAGCTCTGCTTCACTTAATGTCTCTGACCTGTGGAACTTTTGTGAGATACAAATTGTGACGAAAGGCAACGAAGGGCTTGAGTGCTCTTTTTGAATGAATTTACAGAAGACTCAGAAATGAGACCCAGCAAATTACTTGCCATCCTTCTGACCACTATCCATTTTATGAGGGCTCAATTTACTAAAATAACCAATCTACCAGTGCTGTAAGACTTTGACTGGTTTTGCCCTCTATGGCTATCAGAATTCTGAAAAGAAAAAAAACAGCAAAACTTTTTATTCTCACCATTAATGCAATACAGACAGCAGCTATCTCTGACCACAGACAGCAAGTATTTCTACTCACAGGGAATAGAGGAGTTTCTGGCACCATTACCTTCCCAACATGGTATCCGGATGAGCAGTGAAAATGTGTGGATTCACTACAAAACGTGTGCCATCCACGAGAAGTGTCACTTTCTCTGGTGCCTGGGAATGGGTGTTACTGCTGAAGCTCACGGTGCTGTTTCCAAATCGTTCTGGAGCAAGAAAGGGTTCATGGTTCCGTTTAGTCCCACTTTGGAAGCAAGAGCTTTGGATATCTTCAGGAAGTGGCATTATGTGAGGGAATGGAAGATTTGCTGACGGGCAGACATAGTCCAGTGAGAGGTCTGAAAGATCATATAAAGAAACCAAAGTAACAGTAAGCCTGGCAGGAAAGTTAACCCTGTCTTCTTTTTAAAAACAACCTATCCAGACATAGAAAGATTGCATTCATCTGGGGAACATAAAGTAACAAAATAGGAGACTAACATCCAAGAATGGTCAAGATTAGTACCAGGAACTTTACTCCATGGCTTGGAGGCCAACCACACATGCTAGGGGAAAAGGGAGCTCAGATAGAGAAGGGAACACCAAATAAAGGTGTTGGGAGGATCCTCCCAGGATGGGAGAAGCATGCTGAAAGTAGACTACAGACCAATCAGGATAGCCACCCATTGCCTCTTTTGCAAACCACAACACCCAATAAGAGAGCAAGAACAAAAGGGAATGCCCTGCCACAGAGGCAGGGTGGGATGGGGGGGGAGGGATACTGGGATCCGTGGTGGTGGGAAATGGGCACTGGTGGAGGGATGGGTATTTGATCATTGTATAATTGAAACCCAAGCACAAACAGTTGTAAGTCTACAACTATACCTCATGATGTCTCACTAATAAAAATTTAAAAAAAAAACACCTATCCAGGTAAAACTGCTTGCCGAGAGCAAGTTAGAAGACACATTAAATTCCTTTTAGCTGTTTTTTTTTCCAATATTTGTGTGCTAGCAGGTGGGGTGGGGATGAGACAGTAATCACACATTAAAATGATTTTTAAAAATTTTAATGAATTAAGTACATGTTTAAAAAATTAAACATTAGCAAAAAAGACTTTCTGTGGAAAGTCAATAGTCTGCTGTGACATCCCCATAACCTCCCAGTCTGGCTTCAGAGACCATCTCTTTCTCATCTATCTCTTGGGGGGCATAGCGGACAGGTATAGGGACCACAACCAGCAGTGCTCAGGCTGTGTCTGGCTCTGTACTTAGGTGTTCCTCCTGGTAGTGCCTGAGGGATCCTATGCAGAGTCAGGGATCAAACAGGAGTTGGCCATGCACAAGGTTCTCCTCAATCTCTAGACAATATTTGTATTTCCATATTTCCTGCGTTTTATTTAAGGAACCTACTACCCCTATGTGTCAAAACTATCCATATCCATAGTTTTCAAAAGTTTTAAAATTGGGGCCAGTGTGATCTTGCCTTCCACGTGGCCAACCTGGGTTCGATCACCAGCAATAGTTATGGCCCCCCAAAGCCCCACAAGGAGTGATCCCTGAGAGCAAAGCCACTGAGCACTTACGGGTGTAGCCCCCAAACAAAACAGAAACAAAAATAAGTTTTTAAAATTCTATTTTCTACAAAGGGTACTCTCATACTTGGCTAGGGATCACTTTCCCTAGAAATTCAGATGAACAGACTTTTTCTGTGTAGAACAGAGTCCTGATATCACCTACACCATGCAGGACATTGTTCCTGTACAAATGGCCTTCTACTAGAATTCAATCATGGGATCAGGGTTCTGTCTTAATATCACCAGTGATCCCTTAAAAGCATTTTCCTTTTGTTTCAAGTTTCGGGTTTGATGCCACATCCAAGTGGTGCACAGGGGCAACTCCTGACTCGCTCTGGGGACCGTGAGTACCAGGGACCAAACCCAAGACTCTTGCATGCAACGTGCACTCAGCATGGTAAGGTAGCTCTCTGCATCTTTATTACATTAAAAAAAAAAAACTGTTTCAATTGTAAAATAAGAATGACGTTCACTCCACATATCTTAAAGAATTATTTATTTCTGTTTGGGAGCTACAATTGGTGGTGCTCAGGGTTTACTCCTGTCTCCACTCAAGATCACTCCTGGTGGTCTCAGGAGACCATATAGGGTGCTGGGGATCGAGCCAGGGCCAGCTGTATGCAAGGCAATGCCCTATCCCCTCTATTACAGCTCTGGCCCTCTTAAAGAGTTCATTTATAACTGTTAAAGTGAAATAAAGTATGTTAGAGCATACCTTATATACATCACTGAGCTGGAAACATAGCATAGGGGTCTAGGCACTTGCCTTGTATCATATGACCTCTGTCTGATCCTTGACACCACATATGACCCCTCTAGCACTACCAGGAGTGATCCCTAAGCAGAGCCCTCGACAACACTGAGCTAAAAGCATTTTCAAAGATAAAACACCACTAACCAAGCAAGTTGAAGCAAAGATAAACAATGAGACTACATCAAATGAAGAAGCTTCTGCACCTCAAAGGAAACAGTGATCAAGATACAAAAACAGTCCGTTGAATGGAAAAAACTATTTACGCAATACCCATCTGATAAGAGGTTATATATAAAGCACTGGTAGACCTTAATAAGAAAAAAAAAACACCCAACCCCATCAAAAGCTGGGGATACAAAATGAACAAAAACTTCCTCAAAGAAAAGATACAAATGGACAAAAGGCACATGAGAAAATGCTTTACATCACTATTTATCAGGGAGAGGCAAATCAAAACAACAGAAAGATACCATCTCACATCACAGAGACTGGCACACATCAAAAAGAACAAGAACAACCAGTGCTGGAGCAGATGTGGGAAGAAAGGGACCCTAATTCATTACTGGCGGGTATCCTGACTGGTCCAGGCATTTTGAAAAGCAGTATGTGTATTCCCCAAAAAACTAGACGTTGAACCTCCATACAACCCAGCAATACCACACTGGGAATATATTCCGGGAGCACAACGATGTAATAGAGTATGGCCATCGAAACGTCTATGTTCATTCAACACTATTCACAATAGCCAGAATCTAGAAACAACCCAAGTGCCCCAAAACAGATGACTGGATAAAGAAACTATGGTACATCTACACTATGGAATATTGTGCAGCCATCAGGAAAATGAAGTCATGAAATTCCTGTAAACGGAAAGTCATGGAGAGTATTATGCTGAGTGAAGTGAGTCAGAAGGAGAAGGATACAGGATGATTGCCCTCATTTGTGGAATATAAAAAAAAATAGTATGATACTAATACCAAGGACAGGAGAAACGAGGGCCAAGAGGACTGTCCATGGTTAGAAGCTTGCCACAGTCAGGGTGGTGGGTGAGGGGGAGGAGTTGAGGGGCAATTAGGACAGAGAAGGGCCATTATGACAGTAATAGCTGGAAATGATTGCTCTGGACAAGAACTGAGAGCTGAAAGGAGGTAAAGGGATATAATAACCTTTAAGTACCTGTATTGCAAACCATAATGCCCAAAAGGAAAGAGAGGGAGAAAGAGAGACACAGAGAAGAAAAGTGTCTGCCACAGAGGCAGGCAGGGAATGTTATGGTGGGAGGGAAAGTGGGAACATTGGTGGTGGGAAATGTACACTGGTAAAAGGATGGTGTTGAAGCATTGGATGACAGCAACCCAATCATGAACAACTTTGTATTTCATGGTGATTCAATTTTAAAAAAGGTGTTTTTTTTTTTCAGAGTACGTCCTAAATGCCATAGTATGTGGCCCCAAAGCCAAAACTGAGTAATAAAAAGTATAATGACATATCATGCAAAACAGGCTTAGAGCCAAGTGCATACAAAAGGTGGGTGCAAATAGAGACAATTAAGGGAAAATGATTACAATTTTTTTTTTTTTTGCTTTTAGGGTTATGGGCTGGAATGATAGCACAGCAGTAGGGCGTTTGCCTTGCACGCAGCCACTCGACTGACCCAGGTTCAATTCCCCCACCCCTCTCCTCTCGGAGAGCCCAGCAATCTACTGAGAGTATCTCACCCTCACAGCAAAGGCGCAAGCTACCCATGATGTACTGGATATGCCAAACACAGTAACAACAAGTCTCACATGGAGATGTTACTGGGCGGACAGTGTTAGTGTTTAATTACAAAAGCATCACCAAAGTTCTTTATTTGTTATTGTTGTTGTTTTTGGACCACACACAGCTGTGCTCAGGGATCACTCTTAGCAGCACTTGGGGGACTAAATAGTGGTATTGACAGTAGAACCTGGGTAGACCACATGCAAGGCAAATGCCTTATCTGCTATACTATCTGACTCCCTTATAATATATCCTATTTTAATGTAAAACATGTTTTGTTGTTGTTGTTCTGGGGCCATATTCAGCAATTTTCTGGGCTTACTCCTGGCTCTGTGCTTAGGAATTACTCCTGGTGGTGCTCAGGGTACCACATAGGATGCCAGGGATGGAGTTGGGTAAGTTGCAAGCAAGGCAAACATCCTCCTCCCTGCTGTACTATCACTCCAACTGCAAGGTGTTTGCTAAGTTTTTGGGCCACACCCATTGATACCCAGGGGTAACTGCTGGCTCTGTGCTCAGGGACCACTCCTGGTGGGGCTCAGGGAACTAGATAGGATGCCAGGGACCAAACCCAGACTGACTGTGTGCAAGGCAAGCGCCCTACCTGCTGTACTACCACTTTGGGCTACTGGGTTTTATTTTTAATCTATTATGAGTTTTAGGCCACACCCAGCAATCCTCACTCCTGGCTTTGTGCTTCAGGGATCACTTCTGTTGGCACTTGGGAAACCATAGGTGGTGCCAGTGATCAGACTTGGCATTACCATGTGCAAGATAAGCACCCTATTCACTGTACTATCTCTCTGGACACTAAGATATGTTTTAAGTAGAACACTTCAGGCTCTGAAGCAGAGCTCAGGACTTACTCCTGGCCCTTGAGCTTAGGGATTGCACACAAGCTGAGCTTGGTGTGAAGGGCAAGCACACTTCCTGCTGGACCATCTCTCTGACCCCTGAAGCAGAGATGTAATAGAACACACACATTCCATCCTCTGGTATGGTCAACTTAACTAGCATTTTCTTAAATCATCTGCAAACCTCTTTTTAGGGAAAAAAATGTCTTGGGGCTTGATAGTACAGCCGCTGACCTGAGTTCAATCCCCAACACCCCATAGAGTCCCCCATGCCAGCCAGGAGCATACAGCCAAGAGTTAAGACCTGAACACCTTAGGGTGTGACCCCAAAATAAAAAAAACAACACTGATCTCTAGAAGGACAAAGAAAGAAAGAAGTCAAGGGAGGGAAGAAAGAAGATGAGAAAGGAAAGAAATTGGGGAACAAGGGTTGGGGCTTTGGTTATACTGGTGATGTGGGATAGAGGTATCACAATAACCAAAGCACAGACTTCACAACACTGAAAACATGAAATCTAAGCTGCAACCACTGGAACTTCAGAAGGTGCCTGTCAAGGTGGCAGGAGGGGCAGGGGACAAAGTACGGGAACACGGGTGGAGGAAAGCTGCCACTGGTATGGGACTGGTGTTGACATACTACGTGCCTAAAACAACTCTCAATGACTTTTTAAGTTCGTTAATTAAGTAAAAAACAAAGCAAAGCAAAACAAGCAAAAAAACCAGATGTCTTCTAGATGAGGTGGATGTGCAAGTGTCAGAAAGTCCCCTACAATCCCGTTGAGAGCAAATCGCCATACCATCAGTCCTGGGACACACGGGGTAAGTATGGTTTTGAAGACCAGAAGAAGCCACACTACTTGTTTCTTTTTCTTGAACTGCAACTAGGTTTTCATCCATTAGGCAGCCAGCCTCCTGCCGCAATAACCTGTCACTCTCGCAGCCTCGGTGAACGTTCATCCTTGGGCTCTGCATCCTGAACTGTCTGCTTGATCAGAGAGAAATCCTGGAAGACAGGATTAGGCATTGTTTAGAATGCTCTCAAAAGAGGTTTCCAAAGACTCCAGGGTATGAAAGCCAATAGGAAAGTGAGACCATTCTCATTCTTGCTCTTAGGAAAAGGGACACATCAAACACTTGTGACTTTATATTGAGAGGCACAGGTTTAATTAATTAATGGTCTGATTTAAATTATTCAAATGATCTTTACCGAAGCACTAATACTACTGGTTAAGATTTGTTACTAAGGAGTAATTTTAAGCTTTATTCCTATAACAGATTATCAGTCCACTGATCTTGGCCACATTCATGGTCAAGTGTACATATTCAAGTGTGGTGTAAACTGAGTGCTGAAAGGAAGTGATATACATGATAACCTTTCAATACCTGTGCTACAAACCATAAAGCCCAAAAGGAGAGAGAGAGAGAGAGAGAAAGAAAATTGCCAAAGAGAGATAGGATTGGGCGGGTGGTGGGGGGGGGGGGGTAGCAAGAGAGAAACTGGGGAAACTGGTGGTAGGAAATGTACACTGGGGAAGGGATGAATGCTGGGACATTTTATGACTGAAACCAATCACAAACAACTCTGTAGCAGTGTATCTTCCTGTAATTCAACTTAATTTTTCAAGAGAAAGGAAAAGTGGTGTAATAGGGGCTACAGTGATAGTACAGAGGGTAGGGAACTTGCATTGCACGTGGCCAACCTGGGTTCGATTCCCAGAACCCCATATGGTCCCCAGAGCCCTGCCAGGAGTGATCCCTGAGAGTAGAGCCAGAAGTCCTGAGGTACCACTGGGTGTGACCAAAAAACAAAATAAATAAAATGTGGTATAACTTGGTGGCTTATAGTACAGATATACAAAGGAGGGAAGAGAAGAGTTCCACTGGTCAAATAAAGAAAACCTGCTCACTGATATTCTTAAAATGAAACATATATACTCCTGGTAACAACTATGCACTAGGAAATTAAAACCAATCACAGGACATGGTGCCGCCAGCAGGTCAGCCTATACCTGAAGGGCGAGTGCATCAACAGCCTGATGGTGCCTTCAGGCTTTCCAATACCCCAAAATTGCTGCTGTGCCTCTGGCTGAATCCCAACAATTTGGGACCAAGTTTACCACAAAATTAAATGGCCAAAAGTCAGTTATGTGGAGCCACACCCACAAACCACTTCTTGCTCAGCTATACAAGCTCATTGACTGGCCTTATCTCAGAGACCCAAAAATAAACCTCGAAAGAGATCAAAAGCTGCAGTTAATTTGGACCCGCCTGGCTGAACAGACAGGGGTAGTAAATCAGAAGGTGGAGGGCCGGCCTGGTGTCCGCCCAAGCAGAGGCCCCTGCAGCCACTTGCTTCCACAATGCAAAATTGCCACCATACCCCCAGCCTGACTTCACCGTCTTAGACAGACCTCTCCAAGATATAATCTTTTGAAAATTCTGGCATGCAGATTTTGTGACTGAAATCTCCAGGCTTTCTTGGAATTAGGATGGGCTACCTCCCCCCTTCTCCCTCTACTCCTGGAAGCACTGGCAGTCACCCCCCATGAACTCCAGAGCCACTCTGTAAGCTCTTCTACCAGCCTTGTCTCAGAGACCCATAAATAAATCTCAAAAGAAATCAAAAGCCGCAGCTAATCTTGGACCCGCACAAGGCTGAACAGACCAGCATAAACTGGAAGGGAATGGGTTAACCTGGTGCCTGCCCAAGCAGAGCCCCTGGCAGCTGTTTGCTTCCACAATCCAAAATCACCACCATACCCTCGGCCTGACTCCACCATCTCAGGACAGACCTCACCAAGGTATAGGTAAAGGTAAAGGCCCTCCCGTTGATCGTCGATTTGCTCGAGCGGGCCCAGTAACGTCTCCATTGGAAACTTTGTTGTTACTGTGTCTGGCATATCGAATACTCTCGGTAGCTTGCCGGGCTCTCCGAGAGGGGCGGAGGAATCGAACTCGGGTCGGCCATGTTGGCCGCTTGTAAGGCGAACGCCCTACCCGCTGTGCTATCGCTCCAGCAAGGTATAATCTGCTGAAATTTGGGCATGTGGGTTTTGTGACTAAAATCTCCAGGCTTTCTCGGGGTTGAATGGGCGACCTTCCCCCACCTCCCTGTAATTCCAGAAACCTAGGCAGTCACTTCCACACCCTAAAGCTGCCATCCAGTTAAAGTAATGTGGAGTTCATGCCCACTTCAACCAGTTTAATCAGTGGCTGAGTAAACAGCAGTACTCCTACATTTAAAATAATTTAAAAAAAAAAAATCACAACCATAAGCTAGTAAAGTAGAAGTCACCCATGCAATAACAGAACAAAAACGGACATTTCTGTCTTATGCAACTCAAGCTCTGTCAATGAGTATAGGCCTAATACTATCATAAGCAGTGCACAAATATGAAGAACCTGTCCTCAGAGACTGCCATGTGCAAGGCAGGTGATGATTAGAATGGAGGAGCCACACATGAAGAATCAAAGCTCTCTTCCAGGTAAGCAGGTCCTATAGCCCTTCTGCTGTGGGAGCTGAATAGAAGTTCCACTCTCCTTTACAGTTCACTTCTGAAGCTTCTGTTGTGCTATTTTCCACTTGGTGTTCTATCTGAATAATCGTCTTACATCACTAATTTTTATGCTCATGGATTATAATGCTAACACCATTCTAGGAAGGTTACTAACGACCTGTTTTAATATTTAAAATTTCCTGACATACAAGCATTACAGATGCCAATAAAAAAACTTGGCAATGTGGATTACATTTTGAATATTTAAATAATGTGTGTGTGTGTTTTTAGTATAAAGGTGGTCAATTAATTCCTTTTTAAACTTGGATGAAATAAAGAAATGAGCTCTTTGAAAAGATGGGGCAATCCACGTGCCTGAAGACAAATTCAGAGAAGAGATACTTTTAGTCGATAATTTGTTTTCAGCATGACTTCTAGCATAAGACAAATTGTGGGACTAAAGTGAAAGTTCTGACAGAAAATCTGATAGGTGAGCACAGCTTTTTAGGATAATGCTTTCTTAAAGAAAAGACATATTTATATATTGATACCAAAAATGTAGCCAGCCACTTTTAATTTGATCCTCACTGACTAGTAAAGTTAAACAAGCAAACTAACTAACTACTGCTCTCAAGTTTGCTTCAGATGTCAAAACCAAGTCTAGAGAATAAAAGGTGGTCCATGGGATTGGAAAGAGTCAACCCTGAAGGGGCTGGAGCAATAGCACAGCGGGTAGGGTGTTTGCTTTGCACTCGACCAACCTGGGTTCAATTCCCAGCATCCCATATAGTCCCCTGAGCACCGCCAGGAATAATTCCTGAGTGCAGAGCCAGGAGTAACCCCTGTGCATTGCGAGGTGTGACCCAAAAAGCCAAAAAGAAAAAAAAAGTCAACCCTGAAAAAAAAGTCAACCCTGAAAAGATCAAAGGAAGATCTGCTGCTTTAAGCTTTCTTGGTTGTGAACTGTGGTCGACTCTACCTACAGCGGCCATTTCTCAACTCTTCATTAGCTCAAGGACTGAAGATCAGACTTCCTGTTGTTCTCCAAAAGTTTTCTTGCACCAAAACAAGCTTGAACAAACTATCTCCTAGAGAATTTTCACAGTAATATTTGCACACTAATATGCACTATTAGTGTAAATTACTCTTTGTAATAACCATTTATTCATTAAAATTCAGGAAAGTTTCTTTATAACAAAATATAATGAAAACATTTTCTTCTCAGACAATCTTTATCTAAGTGCAGACTGTTTAGAAGTTATACTTAGAACTGAGGAGGATAGATATCTCCAATGAGTGAATAAAAAGTAACTAGCTGATCATTCTGACAGGCATTTTATTTGCATTTGATTCTTATTACAAACTATTAATCTTCCTTTCTTAAAAATCAAAGCCTTATCAGTAAGGTAAGAAAGATAAGAATTGCCAATCATATTCACTTCTTCAAGTAGTTATTACTATTTTCCTGGTATGGAATCCATGTAGATTTAATACAAATACATTTATACTCTAAAGGGATAGTGGTAAAAGCATACAACCTTTAAAAACACACAAACTATACACTATATGTGTCACATTCAATCTACAGTGTTTTACAGAATTACTGTGAAAAAGAACTGGTAATATATGAAGATAGAAATCTACTTCACAACAATCAATCTGCAATTTACTATGATTCTACACTACACTTATTTGCTTATATTATAATGATTCAATGATAATAAGAATGTAATGAAACGAGCTCCAAGAAAGGATCCAGTTTTCATTTTTCTCAAATACATCTCTCTTCAGGACTCCTTTCATTTCAGAAACCATCTAATGACTAATACTAAGTGGTACACACTGTAAGCAATCACATAATCCAATGTTTCCTAAATTCCTCTACCAATGAATTCTTCTATAATCCTAGAGAATTATAAATTCTTTTGACCTGTGACACCAGTAAACTGACTGACACCAAATTCTTTGATAGACAACAGAGTAGCCAGTTTTAATAAACCAGTAAGGAGCTACTCCCCTTCCAGTATGAATGAGTCATTCAATTTTGAATATATGTGTTTTATTTGCCTACCATGGTTCAATTCTGTAACCATCCCCCAAATGAATTTTGGTCCTCAGAACAGATCTGGGGGGGCGGGGCGGGAAGAAAGAAACAAGCACTTCAACAATATAGGTCTCTATTGCTACAAAACTATTTTTATCAATGCCAGTTTATAAGTCACAGTAACATACAACTACAAGAATCAAAAATTAGGAATTGGACTCATTCCAGCAGCATTTCCCAGAACACCCAGAACACTGTTTGAGTCTTCCTCACTGTTGCAAAACTGCTAAATAAAATATGAAAGCTCATTTTAATGTGGTCACTAAAATAACTCATTTTCACTAATACCACTAATAATTTCACTAATACCTTTAAAGTCTTCATGCTGGATGGATTCCATTAATAGCTCTAATTACTTACTCTTATCAAGTTGTTGAGACTTGACTTTAAAAACTGAATCAC